TGTTATTTGATTTAACTTATTTCCTCCCGCCTTATTTTAGTTATGGGTAAGGCAGTAGGAAGAAATGAATGATCTGCCTAGTGATTTTCTAGAAATATGAAAGTAAGTGGAGACCTTAAAGCTACACAAAAGGAAAGTGCCTCCTCACAGCCTCATTCTTCCCACCCGTTCAGCAAGCTTTTTGTCTGTCACATCTCTGTTGAAATGGCCATTGGTGAGGAAGAGGAAGAGGTTTTGTTGTGGATTTTCAGGTGTTTTCTTTGGGGGAGATGGGGAGTGAGTGTTAGATTTGTGAGTTCTCACCTGCTGTTGTGATCATGGTTTTGTGGCTGATAGTGGTTTTATGGGACTTCAGGCTTCATTTGGATGCACTGTTAATGCTTACTCCTTAATGTTCTTGCTCCTTTGTAGGAGCCAGCACCGCTCTTTGACCTCGCCATGCTCGCCTTAGATAGTCCCGAGAGTGGCTGGACAGAGGAAGATGGCCCCAAAGAAGGACTTGCTGAATACATTGTTGAGTTTCTGAAAAAGAAGGCTGAAATGCTTGCAGACTATTTCTCTTTGGAAATTGATGAGGTGTGTGACAGCCATTATTATACCTCTGTTGTATTTTTCAGCTAAGAGTCAAGTTCTGTAGTTGGGCCAAGATCAGGAGGAAACTGCTGGATCCCCCCTCAGAAACATCATGTGACATATATGACATCTTCTTCACTCCCTATTTGCATTTCTAGGTTACGGAACTGTTTTATCATCCACTCATGTCCATTCCTGTTCCCAGGGTTAAGGACCCAGACACAAGGGAGAACTAAATCCTCCAGTCCCTGCAAGCCACAGTGAATGAGATTATGCTGAGCCACTTGCTCTCCCTGTTTCTTTGTCTTACCCCTTGATCTCTGGAGCTTTCCTTCTTGATATATTCTTTGGTTGGTGAACAGATCCAAGGAAAAGGTTGTTCTCCTGCATGTCAGGACAAAAGCTCTTTTTTAAGTGCTTGGCTCTCCTACCCCCAATGCCCAGCCCAGTCAAGCACCTGGTCACCCAGAATGGCAGGTATGAGGAAACACCAGGGAAATGAGATTTGTTTAAATTAAACTGTAATAGCATTATTTCTTGTCGCCTTGTGTTGGCCTTTTTCCATAAGCAGGAAGGGAACCTGATTGGATTACCCCTTCTCATCGACAACTATGTGCCTCCTTTGGAGGGTCTACCTATCTTCATTCTTCGACTAGCCACTGAGGCAAGTGATCAAGCCAATACTAAGTATGTGGGTATGTGAGTGCATGCTAGAGAGAGAAGGCACAGGGCCATGCCTTCATTTGGAATGATAAAGAAGAAAAGGGTAAAACAGCTGAAGAACCCTTCTCATCCCCACCTACCCCCAGCAATGTTTAGCAGTTCCACTTTACAGCTTTATGCCTAAAAAGTCACATTTAGGTTTTTTTTCCTTTTTTTGTGAGGAAGATCAGCCCTGAGCTAACATCCATGCCGATCCTCCTCTTTTTGCTGAGGAAGACCAGCCCTGAGCTAACATCTATTGCCAATCCTCCTCCTTTTTTTTCCCTTTTTCTCCCCAAAGTCCCAGTAGATAGTTGTATGTCATAGCTGCACATCCTTCTAGTTGCTGTACATGGGACACCGCCTCAGCATGGCCAGAGAAGCAGTGCATCCGTGTGCGCCCAGATCTGAACCCGGGCCGCCAGTAGCGGAGCACATGCACTTAACCACTAGGCCATGGGGCCAGCCCCAAAAGTCACGTTTAGTTTTAAGTAGTCTGTGATCTCCACTTAGAAATGAAATGTGTTTAGAGCGTGTACCTATGTTGAGGTATTGAATTCTCTTTTTGGACCAGGTGAACTGGGATGAAGAAAAGGAATGTTTTGAAAGCCTCAGTAAAGAATGTGCTATGTTTTACTCCATCCGGAAGCAGTATATATCTGAGGAGACAACGCTCTCAGGCCAGCAGGTAGTGTGGGGGTGTGTGTTGGCACCCCAGTACTGGGATGAGCCCTCATGCAACCTCATGCAACCTTTAAGAGAAGAAACTTGCTCATCTCTAAATTTCTAGGATTTCACTGCACATAAGGTTTAAACACAATGATCACCTTTTAATCATGAGTTTTTATTTGCTTCTGCTGGTTTAGAAGGTACCTCCAGAGTGATCTCACTAAGTGTCAAATGTAAAAACATAAGCATTGCAATGAGAAATGGAAGGTTGAATTAGATTGTCCAGGGCTGGTGAGTCCATATCTCCCACTGTTAGCCCTTAAATGTGTAGCCACAGTCTTCAGATTCTGGGTCAGTCTCCCCAGTCTCTTTTAGCTTTTGCCTTATTCTACATCTGACCACTGCTTTGCCAGGAAAACAAGGCTGTACTGAGATCATATCCCCAGCTTTTCTTATGGAAGGTCAGCTTGACAAAAAAAAGGCCTGGGTTCCTCACGTTTCTGTGTCACTTTTTCCAATCAGATGACAGTGCTTTTCAATCAGCTGTTTTGGAAGGTTGGGTTGGGGGTGGAAGGGGGACTGAAATAGTGTAAGAATCCAAGGGTAGCCACTTGACATACATAACCATCTCGCTGAATGCTTACAGTCATCCTCTGAGCTCCAGTTTCATAGGTGAGGAAACTAAGGGACAGTTGGCATGCTCGAGGTTTCCCAGAGCCTGTAGGTGGTGGAGCAGAGATCAGTCCTAGGTCCTATTAGCCAAAGCCCCTAGGGAATATCTCATTCCACTGGAGGGGGCAGGGTAGCAAACTGTGCTGAGAGTATCTCATTTGACTGAAAAAATTTACTTCAAGGAAAGCATGGATGAGAAAGAACGTTTTCTTGTATGTAAGACAACTAAGGCTTAAATGTAGGAGAGAAAGAGTGAAGCAAAATAATCCTAATTGTTTTTATTTTCATTTCTTACCTGTGGAGCTTTTTGGAAAACAGGGCTACATTAAGACCCCCAAATTTAGTGGTGAGTTAGGAATGTACTTCCTACTATTGCCATCTAAACATCGTAGTCAGGATCAGACATTATGTTAGAGCCTACTGCAGTCAACACATTCTCTCTGAATGGAAACAAAGGTTCCATGGGAGAAAGCCTCAGGAGAGCAGGGGCTTCTTTTTTCCCCTATCTCATCTCTTGGGTTCAGGCCTGTAGGATCCCTGTGAGGCTGACCTAGAGAGGATGCTTCGCAAGCATTAGATAACACAGCCCATTATAAGCCATAAGACTTTGAGGCCCAGTGCACATCAGCCAGGAAGCCAGTGTACACTGGGATGCGAACGGGGAGGCTTATGACACCTCACATATTGACACCTCACATATCTTTTCCAGAGTGAAGTGCCTGGCGCCACTCCAAATCCCTGGAAGTGGACTGTGGAACACATTGTCTATAAAGCCTTCCGCTCACACCTTCTGCCTCCTAAACATTTCACAGAAGATGGAAATATCCTACAGCTTGCTAACCTGCCTGATCTATACAAAGTCTTTGAGAGATGTTAAATATGGCCATTTATGGATGCTGGGGTGTGTTGTGCTTCCTTTGTATCCTGATGTTGGTAGGTCTTAAGGTTGAAGACTCATTTGTGCCTTCTAACTAGTAGCACTCTTTCATGCATGGTGGGTCTGGGTTGACTATAAATAAATTGTCAGATGTGTCCTAACATGATTTCTTATTTAATTTCATTACACTTGAAAGTTTTTCTAGATTTTCACCTAGTATATACCTGATTATATTGAAAAAATCCCAAAAGTAGATTGAAAGCCCTCTGGGCATCTGGTAAGAATTCTAAAACTCCTTGAAGATTTCATAGATCAGGCTCTGATTTGATGCTTTCTGTATGCTGTTAAATTTCTATCACGTGATATATATTATGTTGGTTCAGGTGCCTTTTAAAACAGGTCCTGAACATAAGAGAGGCTCTGATGACACTGACTGTGGAGAAAGCTGAATTGATAATCTGTTAGTACTTTCAATAACCAAAGCTAATTAATTTATTCTTAATGAAATAACTTGAGAAGATAATAGTCCTTATCTAGTCTATAACTGGTGGGAGTTTTTAAGTTAGCCCACTTTGTTGATGGCTATGAATACTATCAGCTTAAGATAAAGTTCTAGGTGTTCCTGTTTGAAGGATGGTGTAAAAAATAAGAACTTAAACTGTAAGTGCCATTAAAATAAGCTACCTTAATATTAGCCTGCATTAATAGAAATGTGCATCAGCACAGGAAGGACGAATGCCTAGTTTTGAGATAAAATCCAGATTACAAGACTCAATGAACAAAGTTCCATGAAAAAGAACAGAAAACTCTATCTTATGAAGAAGTGGAGCCATTCCATTTGGAAAAGACTGAGACAACAGAATGAAAGGCATATTTGTTGTGCCACAAAAGGGGCAAGATCAAGTTCTAACACTTAGAATTTCCAAAAAGTAGACAAGGGCATCTCAGAAGTGAGATTCCATGAGCCCAAGAGGGGCACAGGCTGAGTGACCATGGGTACAGAGGAAGCGGGGTTTCTAAGACCTCAAGAGCTGGACCACACAGTGTGTTGGTTCCAGCTATGGGATTCTAGGATAAATCTGCATTTCAGAACATCCCCCCCACCCACAGTCACAACTCTTCCAAATACTAGAAAGAAAATTCATAGGTGAAAATCATCTCATTTCAGGAGATTGTTTTCCATATTTCAAAAAGAAAGGGCTGGGCTGGCCCTGTGGCGTAGCGGTTAAGTGCACGTGTTCTGCCGCTGGTGGCCCAGGTTCGGATCCCGGGCGCGCACCGAGGCACTGCTTGTCAGGCCATGCAGTGGCAGCGTCCTTTATAAAGTGGAGGAAGATAGATAGGCACAGATGTTAGCCCAGGGCCAGTCTTCCCCAGCAAAAAGAGGATTGGCATGGATGTTTGTTAGCTCAGGGCTGATCTTCCTCACAAAAAAAAAAAAGGGGCTAATTAAAGGGAATAATTATTAGAGATTTTATTCACATTTGAGTTAATTTTATTAATCTAGTTTCAAGTCTAATTTTATCTTGTGCCCTTGATTCATTAGACTTTCCCCGATATTTGTTCTGTGTAAACACATTGAAGATACAATAATCATTTCCATAAAACCACTTTGATTCTGAGAGCAGAAGCAAGTCACAAATCCTGCAAAGTAGCTATACTCAATGATTAAAAACCTCTGGGTACCTTTAAAGATGAAACTAAAGTTCTTAAAGGAAAAAGTTCTCCATTTATTCCAGATTATTTTTCCTTAAGAAGCAGAGAAAAGAGGGGCAAGATAGGAGGGGCGTGGTTGCCATGATCTGTTTTAAAGGCTCCTCTAACCAAATGAATATGTCAGTAGCCAATTGTGGTCAGCAAAAGGGCGTGTTTAATAGACTCTTCAGGCAGACTTCCCACCTGCCTGCCCTGCCCTTCCCTCCCCCCTCGGGCTTGTCTGAGGTTTCATTCCACAAATAAGCAGCAGATGAAATACTTTACAAGATACAGCACAGCTGATGTGAAGACTAAGGACCCTACTCTTACTTTAAGAGTATTAGGCCTTGGACTTGCCCTGCCTCATGCAATAAAGCAAGTTTTATATACACTCCCCATATCTTTTTCTAACATTTTCTTATATAAATTTAAATATTTTACAAAAAAAGGCTTTTTCCTCCAAACATATAAATTTGAGTGAAACAGATATTCCCCACCTGTGAATTTGTTTCTTCACTAAAATATAAATGCTATCTGACATTAAGGGTAAATGTCTTTTGACCACTGGAGATCACTCAAGTCTGAATTGCACCGTGGAGAAGGCACTTGTGTTTTCTGAGGTCTCCAGCAAGTTATCTCAGTGAGCACGCATAGAATCGCTGTTCTCCAGAACCTGTGCCAAGGCCTCCGAGTGCCCAGTCACTGAGGCAGCTGGGGAAAAATGGTGAGTAAACTTGATTCTAAAATTATGGAAATAGAAAAAACAGCATGGACCAGTTCTTAGTCTAGAATCAAACTACGAACAAAGTGTTCATTCATGAAGATTCAAACCTGTTTCATTCTCTCATAAATTATAAAATACAAAGGTGGCTATTTTAATGACATAACTCAAACAGTACTGAAAGGGGTTTGTATCGATGGACAAAAAGTCAGTCCCACTGGGCAGGGCCCCAAGGAGCACCCTCAGGTAGAAGGGTGGCCTCACTGCTGGGCCAGAAGCGCTGTCCTATTGGCCTTCATCTTCTCCAGCCGCTTGGCCAGGTGGCTGTTGGTCATCTCCATTTCCTCAATCTTGTCCAGTGCTGTTCGTAACTGGAGACAGGAGGGGCTCAGTTACTTCATGTGTCAGAAATAAAGCCCGGGACTACTTCATTTTCAACTTTCTGGGAGATAGAAGCACTGCTAATTATGACGGCCTTGCATAGGATCTCACAGCCTAATTTTTTTTCAGTCAGCTAGAGGTGTTAAATAATGATGCTGAGCATTAATCACAGAAAGGACATACAGAAGCTGGAGAGAAACAAAAATAAAAACTATCCTTTTTTCTTATTATCTAATTGGCCAAAAAAAGTAAATGGCAGTCACTGTGCAGGTCAAAAACCAACACAGAAGAGTAAGTGACTCACTGCTTTTTCCTTAAGATTGGACCCAGGATTAAATTCCTTACACAGCAAAAAATTTCCAAAGGATTTTTTTCTTTTTAGGAATGTATTCCAAGAAGCGTATTAAAACAAGTACCTCTCGTTGTAGCTTCCTCTTTTCTGCTTTCAGTTCATCTTCAACTTTCTCAGCATTCTCAGCAGCAGTTTTATATCTCAGCACCTGTCCCTCCAGCCGGCTAATCTGTAAATATTAAAACAGAGGCCTCTGCTATTGGGCACTATGAGCCACCACTTTTTCACAGTCAAGAAGGAAATACAATGTCATTACAAATTCTAAGTAATCTAACACTAACAAGTCCCTCAGAGTGAGTCATAGGTCCTCTCAGAACTCAACTGCTATTTATAAAATCAAGAAATGTCCCCAGAGAGGATTACAGCTGCAGAGACATTATGGGGCCAATTTCCCATAAGTTTTATGATGACAATATTGTTAAAGTGCCAAAGTCACACTGCAGGAGGAGACTCACTGAGTGGAAAAGTTTTTAGACTTTTTGAAATGTACAATAAGGAATTTTATTATAAACTATGATCTTGAATTCTCTTGAAATATCTACAAAAATAGCATTATAGCTACAGTTTTCTATGTTTTTACAGAAAACAGAAGGCTGAAGTGCCCTGCCAGGTGTTCTCTGCTGGCTTTTCCACTTTTTCGGTGTAGAGCTTCCATAGAGCTCCAACTGCAAGGGCAGCCCAAAGAAACCTAGGTGTTCACAGGGTGGGCCACTCAGATGCAGGAAGCAAATGTGTTTTAAGGGAATTTAAATCTCTTGGTACCATATAGAAGTACTTACGCTTTGCTCCAAGGTGGTTATATCCTGTTCTGCTTTTGAAAGCTTAAATTTGTATTCACTAATTTGTCTATTGGCGTCTCCTAGAACAGAAAAGCATAATGAATCACCTCTCAAAGGTGAAGGTGTGACCTATCAGGCAATGACACCCTCTGCAACACAGGAGAGGACCATGCAGTCTAAGAAGACAAAACACAAATGCACACAGGGCAACCACAGCATCTCTGACAGCCCACGTTCTGGAACGTGAAACTCGAGCACTTGTATTGCAATAGCATCCCTTGGATCTTGAGTTAGACGAAAATTCACTCTTTATCTCATGCTGTGTGTAGGTGAGCTTTGAGCAAGGAGCGCTGTCAGTGCAGCAGTGGCCCCCGCCAACCTTATCTGCAGCCCTATGGCCCAGGGAGCCTCCATGCCCATGGGACTGAGCCCTCCTGTTTCCCTGAACTCAGCCCTGAACCTTCCTATCTCTCAGCTTTCCTTCTAATATTCCACACCTCAGGTGCCCTTTTCTTCTCACCTCTGATTTAAGTCTTAATCAACCTTCAAGGTCATGCTCAATTTTCACCTCCTTCATGACTCTCCTTAGGTAACTAACTTCTTCCCTTGTTGCATTTGATTTGCACTCTCTTTTGTGACATTTATCATACTTTCTTAACATTACATATGTATGTAAGGAGAGGGGCCCAGTCTTAGGCTTCTTGAATATACCTCTGTATCTAGCCAAGTGCTTTCCACATAGTGTATGCTTCATAAATATTTGCTGAAATAAATGCTTTTCACTAACATGTTGTGATGATGTGTTAAGGGTAGAGCTATAAATCATTAGCCGTACATAAACCTAAGAAGCAAATCATTTAAAATGAGAACTTTAAAAATGACAGGGGAGAAAAATTCCCTCCAGCAATCCAAATTTAACAAACATTTTAAATGCTTATAGGGTAGGAATCATAAGGCTTGCAGGAAATAAACCACATTAACCTACCTAACTTAAGAATTTTTCTGCTTTTCCATATAACTAAGGTTACAACTACCTATATAATCTTCAATGCAAGAGGTTTTTCTAACTGGATAGTTACTGTTACCCTAAAAGTAATGAGGTTATAAAACCCTCTCCCGAAAAGCCACTTCTGGGAGTAAAAGAGAACAATTCCTATTCCTGGGCTCTAAAGCAGAAGCTTCAGGATCTTGTTTTTTAATTCTTAACTCCAGCAACTTATTATCAAAATGTGCTGTTTCGTTCTCACTCTCCAAACCACTCATTCCTTCCTGTTTTCAAAAGTGTTAAGTCCCTGGTCTCAGCTATTTCATGCATGTTTTGAAACTGCATTCCAAAACACCATGCTTAATAGCCAAGGTGCTGTCCAGACCTGAGAGTCACCAGGGTGCCTTTCCTGGCCCCTGGTGCAGGGGAGCTGCCTGCTCTTGTCTTTACTAGCCAGGCCCAGCCTTCTCTGGTTCTGTTCAGCTCACCTCAATCTCCAGCCGCACCCTGGGTACTTTCCCTACCTCCACAAATGCCAACTCTATAACACCTACCTGCTCTAGGACACATTCACACATAAATGCATGCCCATTCCCTCTCAACAGGATTCCTTCTGAATTTGCTGCTTTAGGCCAATCTCTTTCAAATTGATCCCCTGAACCCTCTCTAGGACTGTTGGCAGCCATTGTACTGATTCAGTTCATCACAGCCTCCTAACTAGTCAGCCTGCCTCTTGTCATGCCCCTGTCTCCATCTACCCTCCACACCAAAATGATATTTCCAGAACAAAATATTTACCATGAAGTGTCACAGGGGTTCTGATATCCAATAGAGGAAATGATATTGACCTCAAAAGTTAGTATTAATAAGTTACTATTAATAAGCCTTAATCCAAGAAGTCTTTTCTATTTAGCTTAACTCAGAATATTTAGATGAAAAGGCCATGAAATAACCAATATTTTAAAATAAATTATCAGAAAAGCTATTGTCACACTGGAAAAATAAAAGTCTCCCCATCTGTGAATTATATATTATCTAACACATATAAATGGCTGCTGAAATCTCCGTACTATGGGAATTACTGTGAATACAGTAGGCATTTAAAAATAATAGGAGGTCAAAAGCAGAAAGGGAGAAAAACAAATAAATTTAGGTAAACTGAATAGGCTTACTTTGTGGCCTTGTTTTAAATTCCATCTAATAAAGATTAATTTGAGTCAACAATATTTCTGGGAAAATTCTGAAACTATTCAACATTAGTGTGAGTTAGTTCCAAATATATCCCTCCAATTATCCAAGATAAATTCCATAGAAAAAAACCGTAATTAAGAAGGGTGCTGTATGGGAGCTTAAAGATGACATAGGGATATGGAAAAGGACAATGTCAGGATGTCATTATTTGCAAAATGTTCCTAGAAATCACTTTGCCCAGCAGGGGGAAGAGCACTAACTCTTAATCCTCTCATCATCCTCTGAAGCATACAGGCTAGCAGAAGCCTCTATCTGGCTCCATTACTGACCAGGACTGCTTTTCTGGACTGGCTGAGGACTAACTCATCTTTGTAACATAGCTCCTCTTGAGAAATGCGAATTACAAGACTAGCAGCCTGCTTGCAATCCCACTCCTAGGACACAGCCTACATACAGATTGGGACTGGCCTGTCCCCCAGCACCTACTCTGCATTTCGATGAACTGCAAGTCCGAGCCATTCTGCATTCCTTCCAGGTCACCCACCATGCCGTCACTCCTGGAGCACTTCTGCCGCTCTTCCTCTAACTGCAGCTTCAGTTTTCTAATCTGAAGGGAAATGAAGGCTCCTCAGCAAGATCCAGTCTCTCAAACGAAACAAATGCTTGGCCCAATGGCCACATCACAGAACAAGGCATATCCTCATCAGCCACAAATCATTCATTCAAAAACTATTTTATTGAGTGCCTACTATGGGGGACGCACTGTTCAAGGTGCTAGAGATAAGCTATGACCAAATACCAAAAGGAGCAAGCTCCAGAACCAGGTGTCCCAATAAAAATAGCCATAGTTTGGGGGCTGGCCCAGTGGCATAGCAGTTAAGTGCGCGTGCTCCGCTTTGGCGGCCCGGGGTTCGCGGGTTCAGATCCCAGGCGCGCACCCAATGCACCACTTGTCAAGCCATGCTGTGGCGGCGTCCCATATAAAGTAGAGGAAGATGGGCATGGATGTTAGCCCATGGATGTTGCTTCCTCAGCAAAAAGAGGAGGATTGGCAATGGATGTTAGTTCAGGGCTGATCTTCCTCACAAAAAAAAAAAAGCCATAGTTTCTTATTTGTGTAGGTTTGTGGAAAAGCACATCTTTTGGGGGTTTTTTGTTTCTTTTATTAAAAATAGAAAATTCCATGGGCAGTTAGATGTTTTGTGTTTAATTTTAGAGTTAGGTTAAATATTTAGAAAAGTTTCCATATACAGAAATGATTGGAAATATATTTTTGAGTGTGGCTACATAGTTAATTTACCTTATTTTACCCAAAATAAAGGACATTCAAAGCAGCTTATTCATAATAGCCCAAAACTGGAAGCAATCCAAATGTCCATCAACAGGAGGATAAACAAATTGTGGTACATGTATATAATGAAATTACTACTCAGCAATAAAAGGGAAAGTACTACTGATACATGCAACAGCATGGCTGAATCTCAAAATAAGTACGCTGTATGAAAGATGCTAGACAAAGAAGAGTACATACTGTATAAACCCAATTATATAAAACTCCAGAAAATGCGAACTATAGTGACAAAAAGCAGATCAGTGGTTGCCTGGAGAGGGGGAGAGAGGGAAGGTGCAAGAAGGAAGGTTTGCAAAGGGATGTAGAAACTTCGGGGAATTAACAGATATTTTCAACATCTTGATTGTGTTGATGGTTTCACAGGTATTGCTATGAGTTGAATTGTGTCCCCCCCAAATTTGTATATTGAAGTCCTATCCCCAGGACCTCAGAATGTGACCTTATTTGGAAATTAAGTCACTGCAGATGCAATTAGTTAACTTAAGATGAGGTCATACTGGAATAGGGTAGGCCCCTAATCCACTATGACTGCTGTCCTTATAAAAAGAATGCCATATGAAGAGACGGACACATACAGAGGGAAGATGATATGAAGACAGAGAATGCTATTTATAGGCTAAGAAATGCCAAAGATTTCCAACAAAACACCAGAAGCTAGAAAAGAAGCATGGAACAGATTTCCCTTTACAGGCCTCAGAAGGAGCCAACACTGCTACTCTTTGATCTTGGACTTCTAACCTCCAGAACTGTGAGACAATAGATTTCTGTTGCTCTAAGCCACCTGGTTTATGGTATTTTGTTACGGCAGCCCTAGGAAACTAATACAGGTATGTACATTGGTACACTTTAAGTATGTGCAACTTATTCTACACCAATTATACCCTAATAAAGCTGCTTTTTTAATTTACAAAATCAAAAAACTAAAAAAAATAGGGTTGGGAAAAAACAAGGCCCAGTTGGAGACAGGAGTCTCACATATGGAAAACAAGGATATTAGGTGAACAGATGTGTATTGAATGCTGAAGCCTCTAGTCCACCCTCAGTTCCCAGAATGCAGACAGCCAGGCCTGTTCCCTCGGTCAGAAGGCTGGAGGATATCTCTGTTTAGAACTCTTTGACTAGCCTAAAATAGAAGACCAACGTTCCCACATTGAAGTTCCCAACAAAACACCTGGCCACATCAATTGTCACAAAAACTTGGACAAGCCTTACCCATATGCTCAGAGCTGCCCATCAGCCTTACCCATATGCTCAGAGCTGCCCACCCTACTTTTAAACTGACGACCGAATAAATATAGATAAAAGAGCATCTGGAAGGAAATAAACTATGCAGACAGGAAAAAACATCAGAAAACAAACCAACCAGCTTATCAATATCCTCCGAGATAAGTGAAACTATCTGCATCCTTGAAATGACTGAAGAAATAGAAACTCAATAAAAGAATGAGAAGATCAAGTTGCAAAAATCTTTTAGAAAGCAGAGCAAAAGAGATGGAACAAGAGGAGAGAAATAACAAGAAACCTGAGCATCAGTCCCGAGGTCTAATGTCCCCCTCCATCAGAAATCAGAGTCATGTTTCCCCAAATGCCTATGAATCTCATCAACAGAGATCCAGGAAGCACCACAACTCACAGCAAGTCGACCCCTCCCCTACAGAGGGGCCCACATCTGGAACGGAGACCAAACCTCCTCATGCCTCCTTTGTCCTCCATCATCAAGGGTCAAGGGTGAGTCTGCATGCTCAGAGTTCCAGGTGGCTTCCCCAACTGTCCTCACTCCATCAACAGGGGTCAAAGGGAAGGTTCGGCACTAGGACTAAGTGTACCACTCCCCCAATGGGGAAAGAGCGAGTTCCACACTAGGACTAAAGCCATGATTCCCAGACAACTCTGCTCTTTCAACACACAGAGAGTTGTCAAAACTAACTGCCTGGGGTGAACCAGGACTAATCTCATTATCCCCGACATTCCTGTTTGTGTCCATCTCGACAGGAATGTTCGGAATTTCTCCTCTCCTGCACTCTTCCCCAAAAGGCTCTGTATAGCTCCTATTCTGTCTTCATCTCCGAACCTTTCCCAAAGCCTGAAACTCTTCCACTATACCCTCTGGATTATCATTGCGGCATCAGCAGAACCCCCTCCATCCTCAGTCTCTTCTCTAAGCATTCCCTTTACCTTGGTGCTCTACTGGAAACCTGCTCTCCCCTGAGAATCCGGCTTCCTCTGCAGCCCTCTAGAGTTCTGGCTGTTTTTCTCCCACAGCCCTCCTACCACGGAGCCTGAAAATGGAATCGATGTCCTCTTCCTTTCCTTGCTGTTGCCCAGCTACTCTCCCTCTATCCTCCCTAAAATTCCCAGTTCCTAATCTCATCTCTTCAAACTATAAATACTAACTACGCCTCATCATTGCCATCATTCCACTTTTTCTTTACCGTTTTAGCTCCTGACATACTCCCTCAAGACTATTCCTGTCTTAATTCTTGGCCATTTCAAAATACATCTAAGTAGCGGACTTCTCCTACAACTGACGTCCGCTTCTGGAACACCTCCTCTCCAAGGACCTTGCCGTCTATCCCTTCTTGCTCTCAACCACTCAGTCCCACAGTCATACACTTTATCTCATCATAAGATAACTGCAATCCCTACATAATTCAGTGCCATGTATCTTCTTTACACTATTCCTTATCTTTCCAGCTCGCTCTCTGGACCCCAACTCAAAAAATCCTTTAACCTCACTGGCACCTCTAAACCCACTGTTTCCATCTTCTTTCCAGTGTGCCTTGATGTTTTCCTGCATGTCCTCTCAAACCTCCTTACCTAGTTTAATCTCCATGTCCATCATTATCATCACTATCTTGCACACCCTTACCTCCTCTGCTCTGTTATACTCGCCTAGTAAAATCTAACTCTCTACCCACTCCATGCCTGCACCTGTGCAGCTAAATGTAGCTGGAAAAACATATACAACAAATGCATTCACCTCTAACATACCATCTGATTTACTTTTTTATGTTTACTGTTTATTATCTGGTCTCCCCCAACTAAAATGTAAGGTCCACTAGGGCAGGGATTTTTTTTTAACTGATTTGTTCACTGAAATATCCAAAGTGCCTAGAATAGTGCCTGTTAAATAGTGGTGGAATCTCATTCAACATCTGAATGACTGAATAGGAGTTCCAAAAAGAGATAACACAGAACATGGGAAAGGAGAAAATCAATAACAAAATCATTCAAGAAATTTTCCCAGGACTGAAGGATAAGAATTCCGAGAACTGACAGACATGAAAACTCCAAATCACAAAACTCTGAAATTTCAGAACACTAGGGAGAAAGAGAGTATGATACAAGCTTCCAGAGAAGGGGGACAAGATCAAAAATCAAAGTGTCCTTGAAATTCTCAACAGCCACACTGGAAGCCAAAAGACAATGAAGGAATTTATTAAAAAAAAAAAAAAAAGTGAAGGTAAATGATTGCAAATCAGAATTCTATACCCAGTCAAACTGTTAATCAAGAGGGTAAAATGAAGACATTTTCAGGCCTGCAAAGTTAAGAAAAATTTACAGCCTACATACCTTTTTTCAGGAAGTTACCGGGGAATGTACCAAAATAAGAGAATGAATAAAGGAGGAGGAAGGCATAAGACATTACAAAAAGGGAATCCACCCTGAACCACAGGCAGAAAAAACTCCAGATGGTGATGAAGGGTGGTCACATCTCTATACTGAGGGAGCGCTGAGCCAGTAAGTTCAGAATGGGATGAGTCAGATGCTCCAAGAATCAAAAAGATGGAACTGAGAGAATACTTGATGCATCTGAAAACACTCAGGGACTGCAGCTAAATTAATGATAAAGACATAGGAAATCAAACAAATGAAAAGAAAAACCACAATGTTAACCTTAGGGAAATAAGGAGTTGTGAGGAGATGAAAGGCAATCCTAGAATGCTACATGGCTCCACTGTGAGTAGTGTTTACAGAGTTCTAGTAACATAAGCAGACTGGAATTACACTTCCTTTAGTAGGAGGATGTGGGGATGGGAAGTACACGTGTGTGGTAGGGACAGGGGATGAAAGAAAGCTAAATCCTCATCTTCCATAGAAGGATGTCAACAGAGAATGCCTAAAATAGAACAATCAAGAAGCAACATAAGCATGTTATACAGAAATATACAAGGATAGTACACACCAAAAGAATCAGCTGAAAGAACCAAATAGGAATGGTCAGGGGTAAGGGTGGAGGAGGCAGGGCAGGGAACTTCCGTCTTCATAACAAGCTCTGTAGAACTCTTCGATTCCTTAAACTATGTGTCCTATAGATATTTTTGAAAGAATAGGAAACAAAGAAGGAAAATATGAAATATCTTTTTATCCTTCAAATCTTGAGTACTCATGTTTGAAATATGCACATTTCTTTCTAGTGTACATCTGAGTTTGCTAACATTTTACCACGTGATTTGGTCAGTTACAATTAACGTTACCTTCTAATGAAAAGAATGCCTTTACCTGTGATAGTAGCTCTTCCTTTTCTCCAGCAAGTTTTCGTAGCCTTACATCTAAAACAAATGAAAAAGGTTGTAAACTAAATTTGTAATGATGTAGTATATAACAATTAAAAATAATTCTTCAAATTCATACACAGCAAACATTATCTGGTAAACAACTTACAGCTCTGAATATCAAAAGACATGAAGGCTTTAATGGTGTTAAGGAAAAGTACTTAATTATTCAACACATATGTCTACATAACTGATATTTATCAGCACACTAAATACAACATTTGCTCCCTCGGGCAGTGATTTTCCATTTAAAGACAAACTGAAGCACAAAGATCATTTCCTTGTTTCAAAAATTTGCAACCTTTTACCAGTAGACAGACAACTCAAATGCCAAGGGTGCTCCCACAGGCTTAAGCCCTTAGCAGGAGAAAAAAAAATATACGGGAGAGAAGGCAAGGGTAAGAGTGGGACTGAGAGGGGAAGCTGGAGCAAAAAAAAGACAGGAACACAATGTTGGAAGAGGCAAAGGTCCACAAGAGCTAGTGCAGGGAGGGAGGGGGACCAAGTCTAAGATGTGGGCCATCAAGAGCTCGTCTGAGGCTTAGTAGCAGGATCACTAGGGCTTGCTCATGGCCTGTGGTGAGGGCTGCTCCTTCCCAAGCATGCCTTAAAATAGGCCCCCTGGACTGAGGGGATACCCACAGATGAGTAAAAAAAAAGCAGCTGACACCTAGCCAGCGCTCCCGACAACCAACCAGGGTCACGGCCAAATGTAAGTTCTGGTTTCTTCAGCCCCTTCCAAACAGGCAAAGGAAACACTGAGCTGCCCACACCTGTACACATTCCATTCTCCAGAGCAGCTCTCTCATTCGCCTCGCTAGCATCTTCTGCTTTATCAAAGTGCTCTATAATTACATTTCTGGAATTCTGTATATTAGAGAACGATTACTAACTTTTAAAAAGTTTTCCAGCTTCCACCCCCTTACAGTATATCCCACTCCTCTAGGAAACCTACATATATATAAAAACAAGATAAAAAAGAGCGTTTTTTAATAAGTAAAAGTGAGCTGATGGTACCAAATCTATCTGTGCTATTCTTTTTCTCTAGCACAGGATTCTTAGTGGAAGCAATGGATGGGCATTTGTGTGGTTTCCTGAGAGAGGTGTCATTAGACTCTCAAAGGGTTAAATTTAAGAGACTTAGACTTTAAGAGGTTCAGAAGCCCTGCCCTGGAAATAACATTCCTGATATCTTCTTGGTCATCTGCTTCTTGCCTTAAGAAATGCAGTAGCAAAGAGCTACAGAACCCTGGGATAAGCAGCAGAACATAAAACCAGATGCTCCAGGAAGAAGAAACTTAAAACATACTTGGGAAGTCCTCTACCAGCCCACTCGTTCCCTGGGACAGGTGTGCTGGATTATCTCTTTGCAGGTTTGTATTTAAGTGAAAAAGCAATGTGCCATATTTAAGTGAAAAAGCAATATGTATACACCCACAATGTTTCCATCCAGGGGCCTGACAGCTACACTTACTGCCTTACGATGACCCAGATACTAGTTTCCCAAGGTCAAGGATGTCTGAAGACAATGTGCCCGAATTTCTTCCTGTTAGGGATCTAGATAGGGTTCAGACAGCCCTTGTGTTGTTTTTGTTTTCCAAGATGGGATATGAACAAGCTGGAAGTCCAACAGGACATTAATCCAAGTCAACACAGAAACCAGTGTCTTACCTAGTGGCCCTTCTCCTGCTGACTCCAAGACCTGAGCAGCTTCCTGAGACACAACAGTGATGGCTCCAACCACTGGTTCATGATTGACATCACCATTGGGAGTCCCATCGGGGATTATAACTAAGCCATGTTTCTGTGGGGAAGAAAAAAAACCTACCATCACAAAAGATGGCCCACACAGAAGCAATATGCTCTGTGAGGTGACTCTGTGGCTCTGTGAGGTGACTCTGTGACAATATATATTTGCCACAGGTAAAACCTGGTTAAACTAGTTACATGGAATTTAGTTCTGTAGAGGAAATGACTTAAACCTACCAAATCTGTATTGAAGAATAAACACTGGTTTGTACTCAGGCTAGGAAAGATGACAGGACAAAAATGAAGGAAGAATATAGCAGTGAGGGACTTGAGCTCTAGGCTAATGCTAACATACCTCTCCTGTCTTCACTGTCTCCTTCAGGTCAGCCAGCTCCTCTCTGAGCGTATCTCGCTCATTCCTAAGGCAGGCAATGTATTCTTTCTGTTTCTCTAGGGCCTGGTTTTAGACAGGGTAGCAAGGGAAAGAATGGCTCAGAAAAAGAGCAAGTGAAAGGTAGCAGAGAAGTACCTAATTCAAATAAACAAAGATAAAGGCATAAAAGGCAAGAAAGCAGTTAAAAGCTTGGAAACAAGCAGTTAGATATGGAAGGAAATACAAAGTTATGTGGATATACATCAGAAGAGAGTTTTAATAGAAACTGGTTAATTGTGCATAAATTTGGCAAAACATGCTTATCAAATCAGGCAAGAAAACAAGTCTTTCTTTTCCAGTCAATGAAAAAAACAGGAAAAGGAAGATGAAGACAGCTGTAATATTAAAATAGTTTTTCTCACTGACCTTCTTAGTACATTTTCATTTGGTGAACCAAAAAACACATTTAATATTTAACTAAAATAGTTTATTCAAGAATATACTTGACTTTTTTAAAAATTAAAAAACAAAAAAGGTTCTGGAAGAAACATAACAAGTATACATAAGGTATTTTAATTAAATATTGGGTATAGTGATTGTTCTCAAGTAGTGTGGCAAATATTCCTCAAATACCACTTAATTAAAAACAGTTAATCTCCAAAGTGATTCTCAAGGACATATTTTGTTAATTAAATACAACTGAGTTATTTGGTTTTCCAATATACCTTCAAAATGTGAAAAATAAAAATAAAACACTGACAAAATAAATACAGCTCACCTATGGAGGGTAGCAGCACATGCGTTTTGGAATCAGGCTTTTCAGTCCTGGCACTTAACTTATCTATGCCTCAGTTTCCTCATCCAAACAAAAGAAAGGATAACAGCAGCACCCACCCATCCCATGACACAGGCTTAATGGAGCACTAAGTGAAAGGCACTGCCTGCAGTGCCTAAGTCACCAGGGAAGGCTCAGGAAAAGCAGCTGGTGTCTCCATATGTATTTTCCCTGCCATTGCCTGTATCTCACAACTGTCAGAGCTGAGGAGGACAGTGCAGAAGCACGAACACATTTTGGTCATCAGTGACAAATCAAATCTACTCTATGAAATAAAATAACCCAGACTTTAAAACATACCCAAGTTAAGCAGTCTATGTACGGACCTGACAGCTGGGCTATTTGAAAAAGCCTTTCTCTACACATTTGTTCATATATTTAATGTTTTCTGCCAGCATTCTCATTAATCCAAGAAGTTAAACTACAACAGGTAGGTAACTTTAATCTTGGTTTATTGGGTTTAGAAGTGAGCTAACTGATGGCTGAATAGTTTGACAGTTTTTTAAATCATTATAATCCTATTCTGCAACCAAACAATAAGTAAATAAGGCATGATAGCAACTACCATTGTATAGTTCCAACTACATGGCAGGCACTGTTGTATATATCTAATTTTGCTCTTATATTTATATATATAATTTCTCCCTTATCTACCCTGTACTTGTCTTATACCCATTTCACAGATCAAAAAATTGAGGCTCAGAGAGATTATATTGTTTTGCCCAAAGTCACAGTAAGTGGCAAAGCGAGAAAATGAATTCAGTTCTTTTTGGTTCCAAAGCCCTTGCGTACTTTTTCTGTATCACAGCCCCATGAAGGCCAATACTATGTTCCCTTATTGTCTCCTCAAATGCTGCTAGAAAAGTAGTCCATTAGGCAAGTTCTACTCCTTAATTCCAAACTGCAACATCAATATCTAACTTCCTTTCAACAATTTACATTCACACCATATGATGTGTCTTGAGTCTGCCTGTAAATTAATAATTTGAATTTCTAGCATCATAAGGCATTTACTCTAACACTTCAAGCTAATATTAACACTCCATTACATTAATAACAAACGTAACATTAGGACAACAAAGCACAAGCATTACTTTCCCATCTGCTGACAGTCGCTTTAATCTCTGCTGGGTTAGATATTTTTGGTTATTGGTATCTGCGTGCATAGTTCTGCCATGCATCACCCCATGTAACTGGGTCAGTGATCACTGCCACAACACGCTCTAGATAAAACACCACCACTGAATATAAAAGATCTCTTAGGAACAGACCAATCTGAAACTAGGAATTCTAGCAAATGCTAGAACATGCCACTTGCTCCTCTTCCACATCTTATAGTGTGGATTTTATCTTTACTTTTGGACTTAACTTCATCTTCCCATAATTATGGGTGGGAAAATAAAATACATCCTGTAAGTTCTCCCATTTCACCACAAAATTTGAAGACTACTGAAATACCTTATAATTGGACCAAATGTATTCACGCTGGATCTGAAATCTTCTGTATTACCTGACCATATAACCACTACCCTTGTGTTTACATTCAATAATAGCTCCTACAGTAGATTTTTTTTTTAGGGTAAAAAATACATGCTTGTGGAGATCTAAATAATTCTTTACCCCTGACCTAACCTCAAATTCTAGTGTCAAGAAGCCTGAAGGATATGTATAATAGGCTGAACTTTTGGGAAACAGGTTAATTCTCTGCATAATTGCATAAGGGCACAAATATCTTTAGTCAGAATGAGAGTGAGTCTTATGCTGGGCTATACAGATATGCAAGTCCTTTGTTTATACCTTTGTATATTCCACACATGGCACCTGGCACTTGGAACTGCCATGGGGCTATGGGTACAACCACTAGGATCAATGAAGAACGCAAGAAAACAACTTTAACGTGAGAATAATGGCCATGTTCCTTTAGCAAGTTACTAAATTTAAATCTTGAAAACGAAGCTAGAGACGAGTGATGCATTAAGTCAGTCACTGACCATAGTGAAAATGTGTCTTCTAAAAGTCAAAGGAAGACCACCTCACATGCATTAGGATGGCTACGATCAAAAAAACAAAAAACAAGTTCTGGTAAGGATGTAGAGAAATTGGAACCCTTTGCACTGGTGGGAATGTAAAATGGTACAGCTGCTATGGAACACAGTATGGCTGTTCCTCCAAAAATTAAACATAGAATTACTATATTACGCAGCAATTCCACTCCTGGGTATATACCCAAAGGAAATGAAAGCAAGGTCACAGAGAGTTATTTGCAGACTCATGTTCACAGCAACATTATTCACAATAGCCAAAAGCTGAAAGCAAACTAAGTGTCCATCAACAGATGAGTGGATAAACAGAATGTGATATATACATACGGGGAAATATTATTCAGTCTTAAAAAGGAAGGACATTCTGACACATGCTACAACATGGATGAACCTTGATGATATATGCTAAGTGAAATAAGCCACCCACAAAAAGACAAATACTATATGATTCCACTTGTATGAGGTACCTAGAGTAGTCAAATTCACAGAGACAGAAAGTAGAATGGTGGTTGCCAGGGGCTGGGGGGGAGAAGAAATTGGGGAGTTGTTGTCTAATGGGTACAGAGTTTTAGTCAGTTCTGCAAGATGAAAAGAGTTCTGGGGATAGATGGTGGTGACGGTAGCACAATAATGCAAATGTATGTACTACCACTAAACTCTACACTTAAAAATGGTTAAAACGGTAAATTTTATGTTTTTGTATTTTACCACAACTTAAAAAAATTTTTTTAAAGTCAGAGGAGGGATGAACTACTGATACATGCAATAACTTGGATGAATCTCAAGGGAATTATGCTAAATGAAAAAACGTAATTCCAAAAGGTTATATATTGTATGATTCTGTTTACATAACATTCTTAAAATGGCAAAATTATAGAAATGAAAAACAGATTAGTGGTTGCCAGGGCTTGGGATGGGGTAGGGGAGGTAGTAAACATGGTATAAAAGGGCAACAGGAGAGATCCCTTATGGTGACGAAAATGGTATCTTGACTTTATCAAGGTCAATATTCTGGTTGTGATATTGTACTACAGTTTTGCAAGATGTTACATTTGGGGAAAACTGGATAAAGGGCATACAGGATCTCTTTGTATCATTTCTTACAACTGCATGTTAATCTACAATTACCTCAAAAAATTTTTTCAAGTTTAATTTAAAAAAAAAAAAAAGCCAAAGGATCACATTATTATCTACCACATAGAAAGAAGATACCCACTTATTCATTCAATAATGCCAAGAAAGCTAAAAAGTCACATAATTTATATCGTAACCATCAGTGTATCTTTTTGACAGAAAATTTTTGTTTTATTTTGAATAGCTATTTTATTGGACTGAGAGGTCTGGGGTTTTTCTGTAACTGGTCCAAAATAATCAGTTTTAAATACTAAGATAATTATACAAAATAAAAATCGTAGACCTGCAGATCTGTGCTAAAGACAATTATGTAAAGTCCTATAGGAAGCCCATTCTAGATAGTGACCAGGTTTTACCTAAAAGTACAAATTTCATCTCACACCCTACTTTGCACCATACATTTTTTCACATCTCATTTTAAATTCCCCAAGGAAAAAATTAAATAAAATCACTAGTTCACAATCACAATTTCAAAACTTTTAACAGAGTTCATTTGTTCATTTATACCCCAGAAGGCTCTTCTATAGAGCATTGAGTGGAATTTTAGAAAGTTGGTTTTTAAGTATCAGAAACTCCAAAAGGTAGCTTTATTTCTTCAAAACTTTCAGTCTACCAAACTCTTAAGAAATAATTTTGTTTCCCATGTGTTTATTAATGAGAGGATAGGGTCCTTGGAGACATGAAAAGAACTGGATATCAGAATGCCTCTAACAATGGTGGGTATGATCCAGAGGGTTTCACATCCAAGCATGTCTACTGCAGGTGCTCTGAGGTATCTTTGCCAACTTTTCCCTACCCTCTCTAATCTCAAGCAGAACAAGACTTTCTCACTATGTCCTCAGGCCAAGAGTTTCCTTCTCTCTGTTTCTTCCAACACAGCCCTTCCCTGACAAGGTAAGCCTCTGGCAGCTATGGCTGTGGTTCCCCTACAGCAGAACAGAGAGCTCATCCCATGAGATGTATGTGGCTGCCAAATGCCACATGGGACAAACTGGTGCGAATTCTTTCAGCCTCCTGTGTATCTGGAAACTACCTGAAGGGCTTAGCAAAAAGGACTGAAGACTTTTTCTTTATCTGGGCCCCTGCTTTGGGGAGTTAACGGGTTATAATTAGAGATGACGTCACAGTTTGGCAGCTCTGGCAAATCTTACATTCCTATTCACTTCCGTAATTAAACTGATTTTAATCTCTTCCTATTTTATTCACCAAGGATTTATGGGATGCTAATAACTTTTCCCCACTCCCACTCCTTATCCTCTTGTTTCTTATCCAAATTCTTGCAATGTAAGGAAATCAAGTTACCCACAGAGTTTGAATTAAATGCTTGTGGCTGCTTCTGGATAAGAATCCTAGGGGAATAAAGAAAACTTCCTTAGAAAGTTCCTCCTTGTAGGTTTCGCAAGACCAGAGACAGCTAGAAAGAAGAGTTCTTTCCAGGCATACTATCAGGTTTTCCCATGCAAGTTTCTTTCTGTCTTCTGTTTATTCATATTTCACAATGTATAAATGCTAAAAATAATCAAAAGGACAGACTTTTAGTAATCTCTAGGTTAAATTATATTGGTCTATTCCTCATCAATGAGCTTCAGACCAAAGCCCAATTTCATCTCATACCCTAATGTTTTTATCTTTCCAAACAAGTGTGTCCTGGAGGTCAAACACCTCTTTTGTCATGGTGTCTATTTTCTTCTGCATACGTTGATTCTCCTGCAGAGGAAGAGGGAAGAGAGGTAATAAAAGAGCACAAAGGAAAAAGGGAAGGGGTTGGAGGGAGGAAAACAAAAATAAAGCTGATAAAGAAACTTAACAAAAGGGGGAAAGTCTGTGATGAACAGGAAAAGCGAGAGTTGCTTGCTAAAAGGAAAGGTGATATCCAGTGTCTTGGAGACAGGTTTCTCATCGACTTGCCGCTATAAAAGTAAGCAAGGGGACTGGGAATAACTATTCCAACCACAGCTATGTGGCAGCAAGCCAGCTAGGGTTTCTGTGTACAGAGAACTCCATATGTGTACTCTTCCTTTGATAACTGCCTTTGTCTAAACATGGAACAAGTTACATTTCTAGAGAGGGAAATTCAGATTTGCTTATAAACAAACAATTCTTATCATAAAGAACATGAAGTAGTTTTAAACTTCATTTTTTTTAAGCAGACTTAAAAAAATACAAGAGGGAAATATTTCGGCTTAATCATTCTTAATTTCTGTCAGCAGAATCTATGATAGCAAAAATATCATGAATTACGAATCAACAGTCACATCAGTTTTTCAAAAACTAGAATTTAGCATTTAGCAATTCTTAAACAACTCTTCTAACTAGGCAATGATGTTAAGTTTATACCCTCACGTTAACAGGTTTTCTTTATGCATTATTGGTAAATTATCATCACCTACTTTCCCTACTCACACATTTCTTATCTACTTTACCATGCGATTCTCAATTTTAGACTAAAAAGTATTATTTTGTCATATTCAAGGTTTTTCATCTAAAAGATGCTAATTCTAAACATAAAAGTCACCTAAAACTAAGATTTTTAAAGTTTGTATACCGAGCACACTGGGCTTTTAAAGAAACCACAGTAACAAATTATACAAATCAAGCATTACAATTCCTCTTAAACGCAAACATCAAATTAAAAACTAGAACACTTAACCAATTCTAACTTAAGCTATTAAATCTGAGAAGCAGCTCCCAAAGTAGTTTTATTATTCGTTTGAAATCATAAAAGGGGAAAAGTATATATCTTAATTAGAAAAAGAAATGACAAGTGGCTGGCATATTGACGCACAAAAACACAAAAGGACAAAAAGGGAGAGGAATTCAGATTATTTTTAAATACCAGCAGGATACAGAATTTGGACAATATGCTTCTCGCCATAGATGGAAAACCAAGGCAACTAACTTCACATATAATCTGATATTTTCAAAGGGTTATCTGTTTCTGCATTTAGAAATCACAAATTCTACTTGCTTTCAACAGGCTATGCTCAATTCAATTATTCTCAAGAACGATGAAAAGTAACACAAATACACAAATAGAAAAACAGTCATTTCTTTTCTTCTATTGAATGGTTTTTAAAGTTATTTACAGGGAGAGAGATTAAGTGAGGCTGGTCTGGGGTGGGGGAAAAGTGGGAGGAAAAAAGAGAGGGGGTGGGGGGGAATCTGACCGACAGATGTGGATGAGTATGAGCATGGTTAAGTGAGGCGTCTCCCAGGGATCATTAAGAGCTGGCTTCTTGATATCACTCGCATGTCCTCCACACTAAATTAACATTAGATGCTCTTAACAACCACACCAAGGTAGTGGGCAGGATCCCTTCCCAACAAATTTAACTCCATACTTACAAAAAACAACAACCTCAAGAGGAAAAACCACATTTAAAGAGAAACAGAGGCACAAAAGGATGACAAATGCTTTCAAAGGTTTCTTGGGTAGACCACACTGCTCCCCATTCCTAAGATGTAGCCAACACTGCGGCACTCAGAGTTCCTCTACCAGCAGAAACCTGAACCTCAGCACTGGCCAACCTTCACCTTTTTGTATATAAGGTGTTTTGACAATTTCTTCTTTTCATTTAACCACCTCAGAAATGTACATACCTGAGTGAAGATAAACTTCTTATTCCCCAAAATCACGTCTCAAAAGATAGCATTCACTACATTCCAAAGAATAATGGTACTTCGTAATTTTTCCTTTTGCCCATTTCCTAAGATATCTTTAGGAAAGAATGTGCTTAGGAATAAGACAATTACAAAAGCTTCTGCTGTTTAAAGGGGAAATGTTTATAGTGTTCATAGTATTAACGTGTTTTTTTTTTTTTGTGAGGAAGATCAGCCCTGAGCTAACATCTATTGCCAATCCTCCTCCTTTTTTTTTTGACCCCCAAAGCCCCAGTAGATAGTTGTATGTCATAGCTGCATATCCTTCTAGTTGCTGTATGTGGGATGCGGGCTCAGCATGACTGGAGAAGCGGTGCTTCGGTGCGCGGCCAGGATCCAAACCCAGGCCGCCAGTAGCGGAGCGCGCACACTTAACTGCTAAGCCACCAGGCCGGCCCCATAGTATTAATGTTTTAAGCCTGCCTTTATGTGTCATGTTGTAAAATGTTAGGGTACAGCCAAATGTGAAGAGACAAGTACACTCTTTGCGGTATTTTAACTTTCTTTCCTCCCAACACACAGCCCCTCATCCCACTCAATGCATTTTTTCAAAATTAAGTATTTCCACAGTTCATGTACATACCTCAATAAGCTCATCTCTCTGTCGAAGGCCTTCTTTAAGTTCATCCATCTTATGCTGCAGCACACTACACATATGTTTCTGCCTTTCTAACTCCTGTTATTAAACAAATGATATGGTTTGCAATGATCATGGCACATGACAAACTGGAACATCTATGATATAATAATACAGAGGCTAAGTATGACCTCCAGAAACACGCCTTGACTGCCAAAGCATAGTAACTTAGAAAAATTCTGTATTCTATGAAAAAGTTCAGAAAATTTAAATTTTTCATCTCAGAGGATTATATATCTAGAAAACCCAAACTTATCCATGGCAAAATTACTCTGAAAAGTGCAATGGCTTAGTAAAAGTAACAGGTTATAAAAATAATATACAAAATTCAATAATCTTCATAGATACAAACAAAATCTAGAGAGAAGATGTAATAAACACAGTATCAAAAAATAAGATTAAGAAAATACACATATATAAACTTATAAAATATATCCAAAATCTATATGAGGAAAATTATATAAAATATTCCCGGAAGACAGAGAAGCAGAACTGAACAAATAGAAAGGCACACCATCTTCTTGGATAAAAAGACTCAACATCATAAAAATGTCAGTTCTCCCCAGAATTAACCTATACATTTAAAGCAGTCCAAATAAAAATACTATCAGGTTTTTTCCTCTTCAAAGCAAGAAAAGTTGATTATAAAGTTTATTTGTAAGAAAAACATTAGAAAAAATAGCCAGAAAAAAAAACGTACTGAAAAAGAAGAAAGCTAGCCTTACTAGAGATTAAAACACATTATAAGGCCTATATAATTAAAACAGTGTTGTAGTGGCATATGAATACAGACCAATGGAGCAGAAAAGAAAAGCCAGAAATAGACCCAATTACATAAACAAATATATTAAACAACAACAAAACAAAAAGAGCAACTCAAATCAATGAGAAAAGGTAGACTTTTAAATTAGTGATGGTGGGAAAACTGGATATCCATAGGGAAAAAGAAAACTGGAACCATACCTCACACGACACACCAGGACAAATTCCAAATAGATCAAAAGTGTACAGAAAGAAAAGAGAAGGAGGGAGGAAGGGAGGGAGGGAGGAAAGGAGGGAGGAAGGAAGGGTACAGTTACTAGAGAAAAGATGAGTGAATTTCTATAACCAAAGAGTGGGGAAAATATCACTAAAAAATGACTCAAAAATCCACAAGCAAGAAGGGGAAAGGGGTATTAAATTAGACTATATAAAAATAAAAACTTTTGAATGGCAAACGACACGATAAGCAAATTGAAAAGACAAATGACACACTGCCAAAAACAAAAATTTTACAACTTATATCAGAGATGCAATGTTATCATCTCTCCATATAGAGAGCCTCTAAAATTAGAAAGAAAGAAAGAAAGAAAAAAAAAACACTACTATATAGAAAAATAGGCTAAAGAAATGGACAGTTCACAGAAAAGGAAACAGAAATCGCTCTAAATATGAAAAGATGCTCACACTAAGAGAAATGTCAAGTAAAACTGTATTTCTCACCAAAACACTAGTAAAAGTCCAAAAACTTGACAGCATATCTAGGGGAAAGTACTATGGGCAAGGAAATAGGCCCTCTCATACTTTTGGAGGGAATGTAAAATGGTGTAATAATTCAGCAGTTTCTAGAGAATTACCACACCTTTCAACCCAGCAAACCCACCTTTATGACTCCCATAAGATTGGCAGAAATACAAAAAGACCCATGCAGTACACTATTTTTTAACAGCAAGACTGCAAACAACTCGAATGTCCATTAACAGGGAACTGGTGGAATAAACTATAGTATAACCACACAACAGAATAACTATACAGTGATAAAAAAGAATAAGGAAGATCTCTATATACTACAGTCATAAGGTGATAAAATAAAGGTACAGAACAGTATTTATAGTATGCTATCATTTCTAAGAAAGGAGGCATGCAAATATACATATTTGTGTATATATATATATATAAATTTTTCTGAATGGCAAAATTTATACATCTTCTTAGATTTTAAAAAATGGAAAGATAAAGCATTTAATTTAAAAATTCCCATAAGGAAGGAGGGAATAGGGATGAATAGACAGAGATAGATGACTGACTTCTCTGAATATATTTTCTTTGCTGATTTGACTTCAGATCTATGTAAATATTTTACATAATTGAAAAAATTAAATTTAAAAAGCAATTCCTGGTAGAAGCAAACCAACAGATGAGTGGATAAACAAAATGTGTTACATACATACAGTGGAATATTATTCAGGACTGGAAATCCTGTCACATGCTACAACATGGATGAATCTTGAGAGCATTACTGGAAGTGAAATAAGCCCATCACAAAAAGACAAATATTATATGATTCCGCTTATATGAGGTACCTAGAGTAGTCAAACTCATAGAGACAGAAAGTAGACTGGTGGCTGCCAGGAGCTGGGGGAGGAGGAAATGGGGAGTTGTTTAACGGGTGGAGTTTCAGTTTTGCAAGATGAAAAAGTTCTGGAGATGTGTTGCACAACAATGTGAATATACTTAATATTACCGAACTGTACACTTTAAAATGGTTAAAAAGGTAAATTTTATTATGTTTCTTACCACAATGAAAGGTAAAAATAATTTAAAAATAAAAATTTAAAAAGCAATTCATAAAAATTAAAAATAAAATGCAGTCAACCTAACTATATATCCAGTTAGTAGCATAAGCACAGAGAGAGAAACTATTTCAAGTAATTTTTAAAAACAATGGTTGAACTATACATAGCCTAGCAGCAAAAAAACCACCAAAGAGAACAAAAAACTTTTAACTATTTTCAGTAATTATATTGTTGGTGGTAATGTTGGCATTGCTATTCTGGGTAATGTTGGATAAAGCAATGAGAACAGAATATAACATAATTACTATCCTCCCCAGTGACTTTGAGCACTGGGAATGGTAGTGTGGGAAAAAGGAGATATATATGTGTAAGACAGAAGAGGTTAAGTAAAAACCCTAGAGTCCTGAATATGAACTAGAACTATCAGCATAAACTCATAATATATTTTGACTTTAAAAACAAAAAAAAACCCTACATACATATTGCCCTGATATATCCACTAAAAAGGCCTATAAACAGTGACCAACTTGGTAGCAAGAGCACCCCGACACCTACACTGCTCCACTAAAAGAGAAGCAGGGCTCCTTGGACAAATAGCTGACTCCTGGTCTGGAGGAGGAAATTACCAAATGAGTGGAGAACACCTTGTGCTAGACAGCAAAGAAGCTATCAAAAACAATTAGACTCATGTCAAAATTACTTGGGAGTCAATGTGAAGAGGGTTGCATTAGTTAAAGGTGGGACAATTTGGGGCTGGCCCCGTGGCTTAGCAGTTAAGTGCGCGCGCTCCGCTACTGACGGCCTGGGTTTGGGTCCCGGGCGCGCACCAACGCACCGCTTCTCCGGCCATGCTGAGGCCGTGTCCCACAGACAGCAACTAGAAGGATGTGCAACTATGACATACAACTATCTACTGGGGCTTCGGGGAAAAAAAGGAGGAGGATTGGCAATAGATGTTAGCTCAGAGCCGGTCTTCCTCAGCAAAAAGAGGAGGATTAGCATGGATGTTAGCTCAAGGCTGATCTTCCTCACAAAAAAAAAAGGTGGGACAATTTGAAAATCAGTAAGAATAAAAGCTATGTGGATTGAAATCATCAAATCCTTTAATTCTTAACTTTATAATATTTTTCTAAAAAACCAAATAACTGGTCACTATCAGAGGATGCTAAACAACCATTTTTTATTTTGAAAACTCATAAATAAAAGAATCAAGGCTTTATCTTGCCTTTCCCACGTAAACTGTCTCATCTGACTAATAACAGATGAGGGGAAATTTCTCTTTAAAGATAGACTTACGTTATTTAGTAAAGCAAAGGAAAGCGAAATGACAGCCCAGTGAATGGCAGAAAATATCTGCAAATCATGTATCTGATAAGGGACTTGTATCTAGAATATATAAACTCTTACGACTCAATACTAAAAAGACAATCCAATTTAAAAATGGGCAAGAGATCTGAAAAAACATTTCTCCAGGAAGATATACAGTCATTAACTACATGAAAACATAGTTGAAATCATTAGTCATCAGGGAAATGCAAATCAAAACTACATCTGCAAGGATAGCTGGAAAACACAAGTGTTGGTGAGGATGTAGAGAAATCAGAAGTCACATACACTGTTGGTAGAAATGCAAAATGGTGCAGCCGCTTTGGCATAGTCTGGCATTACTTAAATGGTTAAACATAGAGGTGTCATATAACCCAGCAATTCCACTCCTAGGTATATACTTAATAGAAAGGATATCATATTTCCACACAGAAACTTGTACACAATGTTTATAGCAGCATGATTTGTCATAGACAAAAAGTGGGGAAAAAAACAAATGTCCATCAACACACACAAATGGATAAACAAAATGTGGTATACCCATATAATGGAATATTATTAGGCCACAAAAAGGAATGAAGTACTCATGCATGCTACAACATGGATGAACCTTGAAAATATTAAGCCAAGTGAAAGAAGTCAATCACAAAAGAGCACATATTATATGGTTCCATTGATATAAAAGTCTGGAATAGGGAAATCTACAGAGACAGAAAGTAGATAGTGGTTACTTAGGGCTAAGGGGTGGTGGGAGACAGGGAGATGATAGCTCAATCGTCTAGATGATTAGCTAGGTATACAGTTTCTTTTTGACGTGATGAAAATATTCTAAAACTGTGATGATGGTTGCACATATCTGTGAATATATAAAAAAGCCAATGAATTGTACACTTTAAATGGATGAATTGTATGATATGTGAATTACATCTCAATAAAGCTGTTTAAAAATAATTAAATAAAATAAAGCAGTAATGATAAAATTAGAATATCCCATTTTGCAACCCCTAATCAGCTAACAGATGTAAGTATCTGGCTATAGCATCACAAAGAAAGACAGCCATACATCCGGGCCTCTTGAAGGAAGATAACCTATGAAGCAGACTTGCTAAAATACTAAACTATATTTGATTAAGCCTGTAAACCTAACTACCTAATTCATAGAAAATACAGAAGAAAAAGGAACATGTTAAAGACACCATGGGAATGAAACAGCAAAACTCCTAAGACTGACGGAAACTGTTAAGACAAACAATCCGGTTTCTTCAACACATAAACCACAAGGGAGAAAAAATGAGATCAAAGGAAACCTATAAATAAAGAGACTTAAAAGACATGACAACTAATTTCAATGTGTGGAACTTATCTGGATCCTCACTTTTTTTTAAGTGTAAAAAGGAAAAATCGTTTATATGACATTTGAGACAACTGAAATTTTAACGATTGGATAGATAGTATAAAGGAATTATTTTTAATTTTTCAGATGTGAAATGGTCTTGTGGTTAAGTTTAAAAAGGAGAGAGAGTGAGAGTCCATATCATTTAGAGAGCCATACCTAAATTCATACTAAAATATGGGATACTTAGGACTTGCTTCAAATAACAGGAGTGGAGGAAATGGACAGGGCAAAATTGGCCATGTATTGATGGTTGCTGGGAGCAGGTGACGGGTTAAGAGGGTTCATCATACTCCTCTATTTTTCTGTATGTTTAAAATCTGTAATAAAACATTTTTTTAAATCTCAGATAAGCTAAAAAAAGGAAAAGAATTCCCTACCAAAATGAATAGCTATTAAGAAAAGAATAGTATATTTGAGACATTCCTAATCAGGAATTCTGTCCATAAAGTAGGTATAAAAACAATGTTTAAGATGCAGTTATTATAATCCCAGCAGGAAGCACTAAAGACATTTTGAAAAATCGTATTAATATTGTTGTTGCTGTAACTGAATGGTCCCTTCTTCTACCCTCACTGTCTGCTGCTATAATGAAACATACCAGAGTGCCTGACCTTTTTGTGTCTCTGAACATGAACATTCTACTGCGTGAGGCAACATCTGTTTAGAAGAGAGCTCAGGGTGAAGATATGTTAGAGAGAGACACTATCACCAAGTCTTCTACCTGGAGCCCACTTCTAGGGTATTAAAAAAGCTTAAAGATTTTTCAAATTTGAAAAGCACAGATTGTTCTAAGAACAAATTAAAAAAACACAACTCTGTGTACACTGAGACATCTCTGTATCTTAGAAAATGACAGAAGGGAAAAACGAAGTTTGTTAAAATAGATAATCATGGGGTTTCTTTCTTAATTTTAAAAATACTCAAAGACATTTGAGAAGACAGAAAGATAAGAACTCATTTTAGTACTGGCCATTAAAATACTTAGCATGAGATTTCCTTCTAATCTGCTAGAAGCAGCGAGCCAGAAATAGATATGAAAAACGCATGGGAAGGCAAGAAAGGGGTCCAAGGACTCTAGCTAAAATTCGATGGCTCAGACTCTCTAGCATTGGCCCATGAGATACAGGAAGAATCAAAGAGGAAACCACCTATTGCCACCAAATCATACTCTTCAATGGGCCACTGTTACCCAATACGAAAATACCCAGAAGACTCTTCTTCACCTATCTAGACAGAAGTCTTCTTATCCTTTTTCTTTTAATAGACTTTATTTTTTAGAGCAGTTTTAGGTTCACAGCAAAATTGAACAGAAAGTACAAAGTTCCCTTATAACCCCTGCCCTACACACGAACAGCCTTCCCCAATATCAACATCCCATTTGTAACAAGCAATGAATCTACACTGACACGTCATTATCACCCTAAGTTATAGTTTACATTAAGGTTCACTCTCGGTGTTGTAGATTCTACGGATTTTAACAAATGTATAATGTATCCACCATTATATTATCATACAGAATAGTATCACTGCCCTAAAAATCCTCTGTGCTCTGCCTATTCATCCCTCCTTCCCCTAAACCCTTGGCAAACACTTCCTAACACTTTTTAAACATGACCAAAACAGACTGGAATGAGCATTTTCAGTCCTCAAGGAAAGAAATTCCTATAGAGTCTACAGTAATAATGCTGGTCCCTTAGAGGTTATATTAACACCTTCTTTCCCTTTATTATGTACAAATTCAGATTGTTATTGTTTCTAACATTTCACCAATGCACATTTCCTAAATTATTTTCTGGGTTTTTTATTTCTGCAACGTAGTGGCAATTCATTTTTTGGCAATAATATCCATTTGTTCTCTGCTTGGACTGACATCAACATTTTAAGAAGTCCAAATCCAAAAAGTTTTCAAGAGAACCCAATTTGTTTTCTGCCGTTGTCAAAGCGCAACTCTGGACCTTGGGCAGTGGCTTTTATTTTCCATCTGCATGTTTTAACAACATAGCTTACAACACTCTAAAGAAAACATCTGTCGATTTCTGACCCACATCTCCACACTGCTATTTTTAAAAACTGGTTCAAGACTTCTCTCCAATTATTTAGAATACAGGTTCTCTTGAAAAATGAAAAAAAGAAAGAAAAAGTGAACCATCTCATTGAAAGCGTTTGGAGCTTTGTGGAGTTCCAGCCAGTTATAACAGGAAGAAGTAAGTAATCCACTGTAATTGTCTCAATTAAGAGATAGACAATAAAGATAAAACTTGAGTTGTATTCTACTTACAGAAACTGAAGGAGGTCATAAGCTTTTCCTTAAGAACATAAAATAAATTTTATAAAAATTAAAAAAGGAAAATATTTCAGGATAGATCTTATGATCTATCAATTTCCTTGGACCAATCAGTTTTGACAAAAACATCTTTCCCAGGTATGCTGCATTCTTCTATCAACCCCAGCACTTTTTAAATGGCAGGTTTTATTTTCTGACCCAAGAGAAAGGTGTGATACAAGATGAGCAATTACCTTTGATTTTTCTTCGTTTTCTCTATAAAATTCAGCCATCTGTTCCTCCTGTTCTTCAATAACATCCTTGAGGGTGTCGACCTGGTAGATCAAATTGTTCTTCTCATTGTCTAACTGTGCATTGGAAACCATGGCTTTCTTGTATTTTTCTTCCACTTCAGACAAAGACTCCTAAATGAAAGTCAAAGTCATCAGCCTAATATCTAAAATATGTTTACTGCCTATATGCAATATAACAGGAAACTATAGCACTGGCACAAACACATGAAGATGCATTTTTGCAAAATACAAGCAGTAGGTGAACTCCTTGTTAAGTAACATGCACATAAAGCAGGAGGACAATAATAAGCCAACAATGCCATTATAAGAAATTTATGTGCTCTCTGCTATCCAAGAAAACAAACCAAGCAGCAATGTAGCCTCTGAAAGATGAAAAGGTGTGCAGACAATGTATATTTGTAAGAAACGTAAAGTGAAGAACCACCAACGTTTTCAGAAATGGTACTCCTGTAGTTTTTAACAAGCTGTTTGGCCTTTAGAATTCAATGACACAACAGAAAACAGCATCTTTTTACACAAGTAAACTTTATACTTATTTGAATTTTGCTACTTCCTGGACATTGTTTTCAATACTTTCCTGTTCTGCATAATACTGCTAATGTAAATATGTAAACATTTATTTCAAGCAATTATTCAAATTTTAGTCATTTTTAAATAAGTAAGGAATGCAAAAGTGACTACTTAAAAAAGAGCTACCACAAAATGCCTGAAATTTTATGTACTTCAAAGTTTTCTGCCTAAAATAGATTACAAGTCTGTTTTTAAAAAACTGTATCTAACTTGGTAGATTACTACTACCTATTAAGTTTTTTTTCTTTTGGTGAGGAAGATTGGCCCTGAGCTAACCTCTGTGCTAATCCTCCTCTACTTTGTATGTGGGATGCCGCCACAGCATGGCTTGATGAGCGGTGTGTAGGTCCGCGCCCGGGATCCAAACCCGCAAACCCTGGGCCACCGAAGTGGAGTGCATGAACTTAACCACTATGCCACTGGGCAGCCCCCCTAGTAACTTTTTTTTTAAGGCTAAAAAGAAGAAATATTTCACAAAGAAAAAGTCATCACTTCTGGAAATAAATTCAAAAAATACTAATGCAAATGTTTACCAAACCAAGATCAATGATACAGAGGAGAGTCCAGAACTCTTACATTTATGATCAATTGATTTCTGACAAGGGTGCCCAGACAAGTCAATAGGAAAAGAATAGCTTTTTCAACAAATGGTGCTGGGACAACTGGATATCTACATGCAAAAGAATCAAGTTGGACTCCTATTGCACACCTTACACAAAAATTAACTCAAAATGGATCAGAGACCTAAATGTAAGACCTAAAACTATAAAACTCTTCAAAGAAAACATAGCAGTAAATCTTCATGACCTTGGAGTAGGCAATGGTTTCTTAGATACAACAGCAAAAACAGTATCAACGAAAAAGAAATAGACTTCATCAAAATTTAAAACTTTCGTGCTACAAACAATACCATCAAGAAAGTGAAAAGACAACCCATAGAATGGGAGAAAATATTTATATATCTTATATCTGATAAGGGACTTATATCCAGAATATATAAAGAACTCTTACAACTCAATAATAAAAAGACACATAATTGAATTTAAAAATGGGCAAGGATTTGGGCCAGCCCAGTGGCACAGTGGTTAAGTTTTTGGCACCCTCCGCTTCGGCAGCCTGGGGTTCGCAGGTTCGGAACCTGGGCCCGGACCTACACCACTCATCAAGCCATGCTGTGGTGACACCCCATATACAAAATAGAGGAAGATGGGCACAGATGTTAGCTCAGGGCGAATCTTCCTCAAGCAAAAAGAAGACTGGCAACAGGTGTTAGCTCAGGGCCAATATTCCTGACCAAAAAAAAGGGGAGGGGGGGCAAAGATTTGAATAGACATTTCTCCAAAGAAGATATACTAATGGCCAAAAAGTACATGAAAACATGCTCAACATCATCAGTAATTAGGGAAATACACACTGAAACCACAATGAGATACCACTTCACACCCACTAGGATGCTATAATTTATAACCAAAAAACCAGAAATAAGATAAGGGTGGTGAGGATGTGGAAAAACTAGAACCCTCATACATTGCTGGTGAGAATGTAAAATAGTGCAGCTGCTTTGGAAACAGTCTGGCAATTCCTCAAAATGTTAAACACAGAGTTACCATATGATCCAGCAATTCTATTCCCAGGTATCTACCCAAGAGAAATGAAAAGATATGCCTATACAAAAATTTGTACACAAATGCTCACAGGAGCAATATTCATAATAGCCGAAAACTGGAAACAACCCAAATGTCCATCAGCTGACAAATGGATAAACAAAATGTGGTAAATCCACACACTGAAATATTACCAAGCCATAAAATAAATATATATATATATATATATACATAGACACATGTTACAACCTGGATGAATCTTGAAAACATTATGCTAAATGAAAAAGTCAATCACAAAAGACAACATATTGAATGATTCCAATTATATGAAATGTCCAGAATAGGCAAATCCGCAGAGACAGAAAGTAAATTAGTGGTTACCCAGTGCTGGGTATGGGAGTGGGAGAGGAGGAGTGGAGACTGACTGATAATTAGTATGGGGTTTCTTTTCGGGGTAATGAAAATGTTCTAAATTTGGGTTGTGGTGATGGTTATCCAACTCTGTGACTATGCTAAAAACTACTGAATTGTGTACACTTTAAATGAGTAAATTTTATGGTATGTGAATTATCTCTCAATAAAGATACACACATACACATATATATATACACAAACACATACACTTAATACTTCAAAAATCAAGATTTATTAATAGGCAGCATTTATACGAGGATTGGGAACAAATACAACCCAAATAAAGAGTATAAGCAAAGTCAATTGTATAATAGTTTAAATATAGTAGGTATCTTAATATAATGCTGAATTTAGAACGATTCTGATCCATCTCAGAGGCTAATAGCATAAAAAAGTCCTCCTCACAACTCAGTCCCATATAAAATGGGACATAAGTGCATGAACACCAGAATCTAAGACACTTCAAGCAGTAGATGCAAGGACATGATACATAACACAATCAATTGGACATAAAATTTACAGAACATACTCTTCCTTTAAATAATAGACCATGTACTCTTCCTTTAAATAACAGACCACAGAAGGCCATTTTAAATATAAGTGTCAAGACAGTTGTAATGATTTCAATCTAGCTTACATAGTAATACCCACTAGGAATTAGTTTTACTGAAATGTGTTTAAGGCAGTGATTGTCAAAGTGTAGGTTCTGGACTAGCAGCAACAGCATCACAAACAGCAAAAATGCAAATTTTCAATCCCATCCCAGACCTACTGAATAAGAAAATCTTGGAGTAGAGTCTAGCAACCTGTGTTTTGACAAGACTCAGGTGATTCTGGATGGAAGGCAGAATGGGGAAAAGCACCCCAAAGGCAAACATACTTAATCAAGAATAATGTCATAAGCAATGACCCAGCGTCCTTTTTTAACAGGATATGATGCATCACACCACCATGCTTGATCACCAATCAGATAATTTTTTTAATGATTTTTTTTCCACTTAAAAGAGTTATTTCAAAGATAAATACAACCCGAAGTCAAGTTCAATTATACACTGACCATGAATTAAGAAAAAGGACCTTATCTATTCAAAGTCTCAAACAGGGCCAGCCCCCGTGGCTTAGCGGTTAAGTGCGCACGCTCCACTACTGGTGGCCTGGGTTCAAATCCCGGGCACGTACCGACGCACCACTTCTCCAGCCATGCTGAAGCCACGTCCCACATACAACAACTAGAAGGATGTGCAACTATGACATACAACTATCTACTGGGGCTTTGGGGGTAAAAAAAAAGGAGGAGGATTGGCAATAGATGTTAGCTCAGAGCCGGTCTTCCTCAGCAATAAGAGGAGGATTAGCACGGATGTTAGCTCAGGGCTGATCTTCCCCACAAAAAACAAAAAATCAAAAAAAAAACCAAAGTCTCAAATAAATTTAATCTGTTCTTTTTGTATCCTTCAAAGAAAGCAATAAATGATAGATCCAAAAGATAAGAAAAAAATGTTTTATTTTTTTATTTATCTATTTTGGTGAGGAAAATTAGCTCTGAGCTAACATCCGTTGCCAATCCTCCTCTTTGTGGAGGAACATTGGTCCTGGGCTAACATCTGTGCCCATCTTCCTCTACTTTTTATATGTAGGACGCCTGCCACAGCATGGCTTCATAAGCTGTGCGTAGCTCCACATCCGGGATCTGAACCTGCGAACGCCAGGCCACTGAAGCAGTGCACGTGAACTTAACCACTACACCACAGGGCTGGCTCCATGAAAAAAAAAGTTTTAAATAAAATAAAAAGCAAGTAAGAATGCCTCTGAATCACTTGCTTGCTGTCCTGATATATTATGTTACATAGGAAACTTTAATATAAGTGTATTTATTTAATGTATCGGATTTATTCCTTTGATTCAAGATATTTCCAAAAGTCTTATCTCTAAAACCTCAAAGTGGGGGTTAAATCCTGAAGATTAAAGCAGTCAGACTAAATGAGCACATCAGCATACTAACTCTGTAATTCTCCTGATGTGTACTGACAACCTCACATATCAGCCATACCAGCAGCTTGCAGCCTTCCCTCACGGGCACTCTCCACAGGACTTCCCACCTTTCTGGTCCTGAGCCTTAACTTAAGTTCCTTACGGATAGCAATCACCTGCATGAAGGTTTTGGCTGGTAGCTGGGCTACTTCATGCCAGGGAGGCTAATGAAAGCCTTGCCCATTAGGTCCACATCTTGTCCTTTGGGCATATCCTGAGTCACCTTTCTGACTGCCTTGTTTACACTTTTTAGAGGCCTGATGTGTATGTCTGCTTCAAAGAGGGACATGCATGTATTCAGAGAAACCTCTAGTTTCCTCAGATTGGGCTTGAACTTCATAATAAAACACAGGGAAGAGCATGATAACCAAGTAACATTTACAACAAAAATATCTGCCTCACCCAACACTTATAATGAAAACTGGCAGCTGTCCTTGCTCAAAAAAGATAAGGCCCGGGGCTGGCCCGGTGGCGCAAGTGGTTAAGTGCGCGTGCTCTGCTGCGGCGCCCCGGGGTTCGCCGGTTCGGATCCTGGGCGCGCACCAACGCACCGCTTGTCTTGCAATGCTGTGGCAGGCGTCCCATATAAAGTGGAGGAAGATGGGCATGGATGTTAGCCCAGAGCCAGTCTTCCTCAGCAAAAAGAAGAGGATTGGCAGATGTTAGCTTAGGGCCGATCTTCCTCACAAAAAAAAAAAAAAAAGATAAGGCCCATTTAAATTTACCTCCAAATTCTTTAAGGCACTGAATCCATGTAATCCTTTTCGACCTACAGGTAAAAAAGATCGAAACAAAAAGAAAATACAGGCCTCATGCTTTAGGGTCCTTCCTTCAGAGGGAATACTTATAATAATGCTCTCTTGGATGCTTCTTCTGCCTGCCTTTAATATTGACAGAATTTGGTGACAGAAATAGGCAATACTCTCTCCTTTAGCTTAGAAGAACTTTAAGGGCTAATTCTCAAAAAAAATAGTATTCTTAGAATACTTTGTAGGTGTTTGCCCAATTCAATTTTGTATGGCTAAGATACAAGGGACATGCAAGTATTTCACAAGGTTTAAAAACTGTGAAGTATAATATCTTTTACTGAATATTCCAAAAATTATACTAAACATTTAAACATAAGCAGAGATTCAAAGTTCACCTTTCCTATGCATTGCAGGTTAAGCACATGCTTGAAAGACAAACACTGTTAGTAAAGCTACGTGCAGTGGGGTTAACAGACCTCATGAAACCACCATTACCAACACTTCTGCGTACAGAGAGCATGCTTGGGCTGCAGAATACGCCCTGATACCTTTAGTTCTTTAAGCCCCTGCATGTATCTCCCTTCTACATCCTGTATCTGGTCCTTAAGGTCATAGATATCCTGCAGGACATAGGAATGAACCATTGCATAAAACCATGCACAAATACATCTTAAATCAGAGGATTCAGATGAAAATGTGAATTACTTTTGTACATTCCAGACTAAAAGCAGAAAAATCAAAGTACACAAACATAACTGCCACTCCAAACCACTGAAAGGAGCAACAAGGTCAGGTGATAGTGGGCTGGGGAAGGTCTGGAGCAATCAATCTAAAGTGTTAAGTATTTTCTTGGCATTAACTCCTGTTGAAAGAGCATTAGCAAATAGGGGTGGGAATGTACATGGAAAAAAGCTATATAAATTACAACATTTTTTAATATAACATTTTAAAAATTTTATAAATCATTTAAATAATTTTTAGCATAATGCTTCACCTAGAACTAGTAAAACACGTAGTAAATTATAAGCAGCAAATTTTACTGACTCATGCAGAAGTTTTAAAAAATGTAATAAATGGATATGAACAAAGTTGTCTTCCAATGACTTAGTTACTGACCACAATTAATTTCGGAAAAAGAAAGTAAAGGGAAGGAAGTTAAACACAAACATTTTAAACCCAGAGTCAAATGAAAGAGTCTGAGGACAACATTTAAATGATGAAAAAAGCATTTGCTCCAAATGTTACCATAATCCTTATAAGAAGAAAAATGAAGCAGGTCAAATTTTAAATGGAAAATATTGTTTCCCTTGTACCTGACCCTGCTACATAAAATCTATTCTGGATGCTTGATTTAGGTGGGAAATAACTGCCACAGGGCCCTAAACACAATTCTGCAACTACAGGCAGGATCGATTATCAAAGGCCAATTATATAGTTTCTGTATTACACTTCCCCTGCCCCCTTCATTCCCTCCTTGGTAGGTTTATCTGTCTTTTACTCATTGATTCATTCAATATTTATCGAGGACCTATTAGGAGTCAGGTGCTATGATACAAAAAGTTCATTTCCTTCAAGAAGTCATTCTCTCAAAAAAGAAGTAAAAGTACACAGCAAGCACAAGCTAAGTCTGAGGCTGCAAGGCCTTGTCCTCCTGTCTTTTGTCCCACTAGAAAATAGCACCTAAAGGCAAGAGTTTATCTATTCAACTTTGCATCCCCAGCACTTATGCCTGGTACTTACTAAGAGCTCAATAAATACTGACATCTTTAAAGTTATAGCCACGTTGACCTGGGTCAGCTCTCTCCTTCTCTATTGCCACTGCCACTGTTCCAAACCTCTCCACCCTCTCCTAATCCGCAGTTCACTTTTAAAAGTTGCCCATTTCACAAGCCAGACTCCTGCTCCTACCCTGCCTACAATCCTCCTCAGTCCTTACCCGTCTCCACCTCCTCTATTGTGTCAGTCGGAGGCGACCTCCAAATTAAGCCACCCCATCCATCTGAGCCCTGGACATTTCTCTCACCCACTCAGGCACTCTGCTCTGTCAGTTACCCCTCTCTCATTCTTCAAACTTCATCTCTCTCTCTACTGGCTCCATCCAACCAATGAAAATAATAATCAATCTCACCTTTAAAAGAAAACAAAAAACTTCTCTTAACCTTCTATCTCTCTTCACTATTGACCAACCAACTCCTACCCTCCAGTATCCTCTTCAAAGCAAGTTTCTGACATTTTTCTCCCATCATAGTTTTGACTTGCTCATCTCATCCCCATTGTTCAACCACAGGGTCACTGTTCTCCTTACCTCCAGTGCTTCCTCCAATCTGTGGTCAACCTTTAAGAATGCAAATCAGATAGTATCGCTTCCCTGTTTAATATTCCAACGTTGTTAGGGTAAACTGAATTCCTTTTAGGCTGCCAACAAGATGCTTTGTGATATGGCTTCTCTAGCCTTCTCTCTCATCCACCGCTACTCCTCAGTTCTCATCCTACCCTCTGGCAACTTTGCTATACAGATAACCCATGGTTCTTCGAATTTCTCTCTCTGAGAAAGCCTTCCTCCTTCAACTTTGCCTGTTTGATTTTTATTCTTCCTTCACACCTTAGCTCAGTTTGTCTCCTCTGAAAAGCCTTTTGTTATCTCTTCTCCTAGTCCAATTTAGATGATGCTTCTCTGAATTCCCTTAACAGCCCTATTCTTGCTACTGCCATAGTATCACACCACCTGGTTTTACTGGTTTGTATCAGTTTGTCTTCCTATGAAACAGTGAACTCCTAAAGTCCAAAGTGTTTTACTGCCCAAATCTCTGGGGCCAAGTACTCAATAAATGTTGAATGAAAGCAGTTTTTATTACTACCCTTCCCCATTCTTCACAAATAGCAGGTTCAGCAAACAGATATTCAAATACATTTTGAAAGTCCCCATCTTTCAAATAAAAGGGTGAGTAAGAATGAAGACTCAACTAATAGGTTAAATGAGCTTTTCATTACTCAGGTATTTCTGTTATCTCAAATATTATTACACTTGTCTTATCATGAAAAATTGAAAGATAACTGTATTCAAGCAGCCAAGTAATACCATAGTGGCTCAAAAGACTAATAATTCCCAGAGTCTGGTTTCTTGTACATCCACATATTTTCCATTTAAAATATGGCCCATTATTTCTGAAAGAGTTACTTTTACATACATTAAAAAGTTTTTTTGGCATTTGTAAATTAGCAGAACTCATTCCAATATTATTAAATGTTCAGGAAAGAGAACAGAAAAAAGAATTAACTAATCTCTTTCCTTTCAGACCTGAGTCACATTCCTGAACTGCATTAACAATTTTTTTAAAGAACTCAAACTCCTTTTTTCTACTAAGTCACATTAAATGTTAAATAGTTCCAGTATAACAGTATACTACAAAGAAGCCAAAAAATTGTTTTCAAAAAGCAAACCAAAAACTGCTGTTTACCCGTAATTCACTTAATGACGCGTCTGGATCTATTAAGCTGCTGGTGTCCCCGCTTCCTCTTCGGGATGAGTTTCCACTTAAAGGGGTCGTTGCCGAGACAGAATTTCGAGATGAAGGCTATAGAAAAAGAAATATGACACTTTTAAGTCTTGTTTCTTTACAAATATGTTTGCTGTGAAAACTAAAAATGGAGCAGGGTGATAGGGGGAGATCTAATACAGTGTGGACAAGAACTAGCCAAGTGCAACCTAGAGACAATTTAGATTGGCTTTGGGGAAGGGGTGTCCAGAGAAGGGCCCAGGCATACTAAGCTTAACTTCGCTCACTCAAACACTTTACTGGAATCTAGAATTCATAACTAAGAAGGAAACGGTTTGTGTGAGAGTTTTTTGTTTTCTAAGTTTATCTTTGCTATACTGTAAACAATACTGGGATGAGTAAATCAGATTAATTTAAAACAGTTTTAGAACTTTATATTTGGTATGCTAATTAGCAGTCTATTAGTTCCTATTTAGATCCTGAAGCTGCTTCTTTAGAATCTTTTCTAACACTTTGTTGATAATGGAGATACTATTTGCAGTTGGTGCAGCAACAACACCGTGTATCACTATAAATTTACACTGTTCTTTCCACAACTAGTTTAAATGTGAGATCATGATATTGGATTAATAAATCGCATAGATCTGTGCTGTCCAATATAGTAGCCACTAGCCACATGTAGCTATTGAGCACTTGAATTGTGGTTAGTCCAAACAGAGATTTTTTTAAGTAAAATACACACCAGATTTCGAAGGCTTAGTGCAGAAAAAAGAATGTAAAGTATCTCATTAATAAATTTTAATATTGATTATGCTGAAATATTTTGGACATTTGGGTTAAATAAAATATATTATTTAAATTAATTTTATCTGTTTCTTTTTACTGCTTTAATGTGGCTACTAGAAAATTTAAACTTACATATGTGGTTTGTACTATATTTCTATTAGACAGAACTGGTATGTCTCTTTTGAGTACAGTATAAAATTAATCCTGGTAATTTCCCTAAGATGACTTTCTAAAAACACTTGTAGAAGAAAGTCAGAGACTTTTAAACTGAAAGTAACCCCTAGAAAGGAGTTATTTTACTTCAAAAAAATAATTTATCTATGAAGGGAAAAAAAAAACCTCATAGTTTGTCACCATCATTCCTAAAGACACTTCATTTTCAGTGTTTAATGGCTTCTTCTCAAGATTAAATTCTAGAGGGATGAAAATCAAAAAAGCAGCCAAAAGCTTAAGAGGTGACATTCAAGGAAATAAAACGCAATGTCTTTTCTCTTCCCAGTGCTTCACATGATTCAACCTCGGAGGAATTTGGGGGGTCAAGGACAGGAAATAGATGAAGAGAGGAAAAGTGGCTCCATCAGTTCAACTGTAGGAAAATAAAGAATGAAATAGTAGTAGAAAGTAAGTTTAGTTGACTTTGAGAACTGAATTCCCTTAGGAATATATATACTCACCCTTGTGTAATTTTCAGCATACTGTTTGTCAGATTTTTCATCAAACTAGAAAAGAACAGAGATAAAAATCAGGAAAAATGCTAAGCATGTTGATTTTTTTTTAGGGGAAAAAAAGAAGCGGCCTCATTTGACTTCTTCAAGTTCAACCAATGTTTGGAACCTAAAAGTAAACATACTAATAAAACTGGAATAAAGGTTGAGACACATAAGATAAAATGTCAAGAACTTTAATTCTTATCCTAAGGAAGACATAGAGTAAGCAAGAGGTCCTTACACAAAAGTTTCGAACTTTTAGATAGATTTTCTTTTCATGGTATTTGAAACACATTAAAGAAAACTATATATAAACTTAAGTTTTAGCACTGCAAATGTTAATACAAAATAAACTTGTACACATCAAAAGGAAAAGTCTGATAAAACCAAAAGCCAAAAAACTTTATTATCTAAACATTATTAGGACAGAGAACACATAGATAAGACTAGTACACTTAGCCAAAAAAAGTTCAGATTGGACTAATGCATGTTAAATACATCATCAAAAAAATTTTCCCCCACAGCATTAAGGATTCAGTTGTTTGGCTTTTTTTGTCTTTTGTTTTTTTAAGCAATACACGCACATGTATCAAAAAAGGGGAAAAAAAATCAAACAGCACAAAAGGGTATATGAAGTAAGACTCTCTCCCTACCATCCCATATACCTTGACCTCCAATTCTCACTCCAAGGGCAATCAACTCCCAAGTCTTTAAAAAACTCTAACAATAGTGTCCCAAATACATTCTACATCTTCTTTTTCCCCTTACCAAGTTTTGGAGATTAGAAAAAGTACTTCTTTTTTCTTCATAGCATTTATCACTCGCTGACCCCATGATATTTATTAATTATTCATTGTCTGATCTCTCTTTAATGTAAGCTCTGTGTCTGTATTTTTTCTGTATTCCTAACACCAAGAATAGCACCTGGCATATAGAAGGACTCAAAAATTGCTAGATGAATGAATAAATGAATCATACCTCATCTGTACTTACAGACTTACCTCATTTATTTTAACAGCTGCACAGTATCCTATTATCTGGACATACCATAATTGAGTTATCCTATCTTCTGTTGATAAGCCTTAAGGCTGTGTTAGTTAGATAGTGTTTCAAGAAGGTGGGTACCTTAAAGATTTAGTCCAAAACCCTGACTTTATAGCTGAGGAAAGAGAAATTCAGAGGTGAAAGATTTTGCTGAAGGTTGAACAACTACTAAATGTCAGAGCTGGATCCAGATCTCAGTTTTGTGAATTTTAACCCCAGTGTTCATAATATTTCCCTGTATATACTGTCCCAATTACCACTAGGGGGAAAAAAGTCACACAGAGATTTAACTAACTGAAAATATACCCTGACTCCAACTCCCAGACCAACTCTCCCAGATGAATCTAGAGAAGAGATTTGAAAACCTTCCTCAGTTAATTATTATAACACAAAATATCATTATGTCTGGCTCTACTCAGATCAATTCACTCTAACTTCCTCATATTTGAAAGTTTTTCTGTTCTTTTTCATTACCCACATTTATCACGTTCATTTTCTCTCTCAGAAAACACTTTTTAAGTACTTTATCAGTAATATAAATACTATCTTAGACTTTGAACTCTTTTTGCTACTTCTTGCTGTAATACTCTTAAAAAGGAATTGATTTCAGTTCACTTTGATTTTTTTAAACCACATATGAAATGTTTTAAAACAAACAAGCAATGACAGTTTTTAATATTGGCAATTATTGCCATAAAAAGGAATAATCTTCCATCACAACTATACTAGTAAAATACATTGCCTAATATTTAACGTGTTATTCTTCAGAGCGAAAGAAATACTGTATCTGAATAAACTGCCTTATTTTCCTCAGAGTATATTCCAACTCTCTTCTACTAACGAGTTAAAGAAAAAACCAAGTGGCATACAGAAACATTCTTCTAGGTCTATTTGAAATCCTGTCTCATATCCGCCCCTCATAAAAATGATTCCCAAACCCAGCCATTTTTTAATACTCAATTTGGAATAATCTTACATTTCAGAGGCTGCATCGCTGAACTAGTCCATTGCAATGTTGACTGTACTGCTTTCACTATGTTCTGACAGATCCCAATTGTCGCAACCCCAACTGATCATGCGCCAAACCTCAGGGATTGTTAAGGCAGCAAGAAATGCCTAGAGCAGCCATGCCGCAGTCCAGTTATTTTGGCTGCAGTGATTTGGCCAGAGACTCTTCAATTCTCACTTCTCAGACCTGTGCTATATTATGTGCTGTCTTCCATTTAGACAAAAAACTAATTGAAACCTGGTATTCTAAAAGCCCCAGTGCTCTAACCGCCAGGAGGTCTACACAGCTGCAGTACAATGACAAGTTAATGTTCATAAGGATGTCCCAAAGAGTCTGCCAGATCCTGAAAAGGCTTCTAAGTGGAATAAAATGTAATCATGTTTAATACATTAAAGTATAAAACAGGGAAAGATTGGTAAAAGGGTACAAACTTTCAGCTATAAGATGACTAAAGTCTGAGGATCTAATGTAAAACATAGTGACTATAGCTAACAAAACAATTATTGTGTATGAATAACATGGAAAAAAATGAATATGCACTAATACAAAAAATGTTTATAAGATTAGTAAGTGAAAAATCAGAAAACAAAGGCTGTACGTACTATATGGTCACAATTCTGTAAAACAAGCAAATTAAACTGAATAGAAAAGATACTACAAACAAATCAGCAAATTGCTTTAAAAAAAAGGTGGCTAATAAAAATGTAGATTAAAATTTAAAACAAAACAAAACAAAACAAAAAAATGGTAAGCAAAGCCTTTTCTTTTTTCCTAGTAAGGCCTTGCTCATTAATGCTGACTATAGCCTACTATTTTCAAAAAATTTCAAGTAAATATTATGCCATTGTACTCTTAAATAAATAAATAGGTAATTTTCCAATCAAGAAAAGAGTTTCCTTGACAGTTGGAAATTGAAAGTTAGCTAAAAGTTTGTAATATTTCCTTTTATTATTAATGTGCAAAGAAGAGCACATAATGGCAAACTTTATATTCCCATTTGAATGCTAAAAGTTCAAAAGTAACATTTTCTTAAAGAATTTCAAATTATCACTAGCAAACAAAGTCTTAAATACTATAATCTTTCCCATATTTCAGTGATAAATACCTTTGCCTTATTTATGTCCGGGACATCTGAAAATGCTTTACTCTTGACATTATAGATATTTTCTCTTTAAATCTAAACTCCTTAATTATTTGTTGAAATTACTACATGAGCAATATTTCTTAGAATATAAATCCTGTCAAATCTTTGAAACTCTGTCTCTCCTTAAAAGAAAGATTTATTATTCTCTAATTAAGAGGCCCTCTGAACTTCATTTCAGCATATGACTACTTAGTTTGACAGATAATTTTATCTTACTAAATAGGAAAATACATGTGAGTCTTTTTGAATGGAAACAGAGCATTTCAGTTGTGAATACATTTTGATATCGTCATTTGAAAGAGTTGTTTAGAAAAAAAACTTGTATTTTGTTCCAAATTATATTTTTTTCTTAAAAGGATACTGGAGATTTGATATAATTGAGCTATGCATACCTGATGTGTAGCACCTTTCAGCATGCAGCAACTATTTTGTCAATAGTATCAGTAACTCTAATATAATGTGGGATCAGAAGATAAAGGTATTTTATTAAGGTATTTGAAAAAAGTTCTATTTATTTTTAAAGCTATAAAATTATAGTCATTACTAATAAAGGACTTATAGTGTAGTGTGCTTAAGTCATTGATTCTAATCCTTTGTTAACTTCTAATTTATATATGACGATAACGTTATTCAAAAATTCTGTTTGGAAAAAAGCCAAAAAACAGAAGATCTGATTCCCCAACCATGGAAGGGAAGACAACAATAAATTTTAATAATCTCCTAAAGCAAAACTGTCTGAGGATTTCAGTCAGAAATGGTCTAATTATTAACAATCGGTAAAACTGAATTTAGCACATTTACACTCTTTTCCTTTACTCTAGCCTGACCTATGGAACAGAAAGAAAGCAATGCAGGAGACAAGACGACAAGAGGCTAGGGCAACCACCATAAATACTGGATAATGAGTCTGCCCAATCAGAGCCTAGCACCCGTTTTCAGCACCTCCTAACCCAGAAGTTATAAGCTAGCAGACTATATGTATATATTTGATTCACAATGGGGAAGCCAGAAAGTGTCTTTTAAACTTATGAATTCATTGTCAGCATTTTAAAATCAGGATATTTCACATAAAAATGAAGATTTACAGCTTATCTTTTTAAAAAGTGTGTGTGGGGGGAGACAGATCTTACCAACATCAAGTCCACTTTTTATTTGTCTATAGTAAGCTGAATTATAATACATCCTTTAAAAGAAATAATATTAGAGAATAATTTTTGCTCTAGAGAGGGAACGAGCAAATATTTTAGGCTTTGTCAAGAGGCTAAATTAAGGATATTATGCAGGTACTTAGATAACCATTTAAAAATATAAAAATTATTGGCTCACAGGCTATAAAATAACAAGGGGCTGGCCACATTGGCCAACCACTGATCTAGAGAATCTTTTGCTATGTAATAAGGTGTAGAGTATGATGATCTGAACACATATAGGCTGCGTGTGTGTGTGTGTGTGTGTGTGTTTGTATCGAATCATCATGTTATACACCTTACATAGGTACAATTTTTATTTAAAAATACGTAAATAAATCAAAATAACTACCTGAGGGAAAAAAGAGTTATATTTAATTAGCAGAGGCAGGGAAAAGTGTTTTAAAAATTGTCAACCCTTTCACTTCTGTGTAGTTACTAAAATAAATTGCCAAGAAATAAATGTAAGGAGGACACAACACTAATTCAGATATCACAGATTAGAGGCTAATAGAATTCAAAGTTTTTAAGAGAAAAGGTGTACACAATAAATTAAATTTAATTGTTTTTATCTATGAAAAAATAGGTTACTAAGCAAAATAATAAAATGGGCACTATTTCGGGGGAAGACTTGAAAGCCAGTCTTTATGCAGAGAGATTTCTTGAACTGACCCAGGGAAAGATGGGACTGTTACACGGCCAGGTTTGAGAGCCAACAATTTGGAATACTTAAAGACCACACTTAAAATTATCTTTTAGGATTAAAGTTGTTCAGAAATAGCTATGTAAATACAATCAGTGAAGTGCTAAATATAAATAATTATCTCTTCATTCAAAAAACTGTCTAACTTTTTTGTTAAGAAACACTGCCTCTCATCCACTTCAAAGGGCTTGATAATCAGTAGCACGTTGGTGCAGGAGCAAGACAACACTCATGCCAGCATCAGAGAGGAGGTGTCAGAGAGAAAATCAGGCTGTTAGATAAACCACGCAGGTATATCCACTGGATGGGGTTCCTTCATTAAGACAAATGCCTCAAGGCATTTCTACTGGATAATCTTTCCTAAATTCAGCTCCCAATGAAGATGAAAGCAATGGATAAGCACTTCTTCAAAACAATGTCATAATCCAAATGTTTAAAATCTATTCAGATTCTTCCCAGTTACTATAAACTAGTTCTACTTTACTAAGTAGTATATTTTATTTTAGCATATTATTGTTCAACCTTCAAAGTCCACCTAGAACTTTATAGATTTGTGAAAACAAAAAGGGAAGAAAATTTTTAAGACCAATCAGGAATATCTAAATATAGGACAGGTATTAGATGATTTTGCGGAATTATTTTTTATTTCATTAGGTATGATAATGATATAGTGAATATGAAAAAAATCTCAATTAGAGATGCATACTGAACTATCTATTGGCAAATGACATGATGTGTGGGATTTGCTTTAAAATAATTCAGAGGGAAAAAAGAGGGGAAAGGGGAAGAAACAGATGAAACAAAACTGGCAAAATATTGATAATTGTTGGAGCTGCCAATGGGTTCCATGGGGGAAAATTTCCACAGAAAAAAAGTTTTTAAAAAATCAGAAAGTATCAATATATACATTCCAAAACAAAACAAACAACTGTATTTTATGCTAGTGTGTTCAAATAAATATTTCCTAGGCAGTAAGTTAAGTTACTAATTTTAAAATAGCCATTAGTCACAAGCCTGAGACAACACAACCACCCCATGCAATACACTCACACTGGTCAAATCGGGGATACTGACGTCATCCACCTCAGAGACAATGCTCCCCCTACGATTGGAACGACTAAAATAATCGGCAGCAGAAACCTTTCAATCAGAAAAAACAAGATGTTTTAAAAGTTAAGAAAAGAGAGAAGAAAAAGATAAGAACATCAGCATATAGCCGGCAAATTGTGTGCGTGTGAGAGAGAGAGCGAGAGAGAGAGAGAGAGAGAGAGAGAGAGAGAGAGAGAGAAACTATCATGAAATGAAATGAGGAAACTGCTGTAGTTAACCTACCCAAAAAAGTGAAAAATGCAGAGTTTCCTAAATGAAATCACAGCTCCCTAAAATAAGCTTTTATTCACCTTAACTCGAGTTCTATGCTACAGAGATCACTTACCACCTGAGGGCTAGCAAAGTCTCCCATGTTTAAGACATGCATCACCCTCAACAGGACGGTTTCTAGGATAATATCTACCTAAAGCCTCTACTATATTTCACAAAGCTTATAATTCATTATAGCTATCAACTCTGTTAAACGCATATATGCTGAATGCAGAATTATTATTTTTTTCCCCCCAAAGCCCCAGTAGGTAGTTGTACGTCATAGCTGCACATCCTTCTAGTTGCTGTATGTGGGACTCGGCCTCAGCATGGCCGGAGAAGCGGTGCATGGGTGCGCGCTGGGGATCCGAACCCGGGACGCCAGCAGCGAAGCGTGCGCACTTAACCGCTATGCCACGGGGCCGGCCCCTGAATGCAGAATTATTTGCAGGGTATTTACTGTACCTTTTCTCCAATTTCCACAGTTCCCTCTTTTTCATATTCCTAAAACCAGGAACCATGTAGAAGAAAAGAATGAAAGAACTACACTAGCCTCTTTCTGGTTTCCCAAACACACACAGTCTTTTCCCACCTTAGACTTTGGAACTGGCCTAGAAAGCTCTTTGACAGGCTCTTCAAGCAGCTAGCTCCTCACATTTCAAGTCTCAGCTCAAAGGTCACTTCCCTCTGAGAAGCTTTCTCTGACCACCCCATCCAAAGCGACACACACACACACACACACATACACACACACAATGTTCCTGCTTTTTCTCTTCACAGTCCCTAGGGTTACTTTCTTTTTTTCCTTTACTAGTTTATTTTCTATTTCTTTCACTAGGACATAAGATCCATGAAGTCAAAAATCTGGTGTGTTTAGCTCACCACATTATTCCCAGCACTTAACACAGTGCCTTGCATATAATAGGTACTCCATAAACACTTGCGGAATTAATAAATACATGAATATTTTTTACCTCACTCATCAGCCATTCCTTACCTCAGCTTTGTCTGACTACCTTGCTTAAAAACTCTTCCTTTCCAGGAAGGGAATTTGGAAGCCCATCCACAGAGACAAAGAAGGCTTATAAATATGAAGTTTTGCTAAGGGCTAATACAATTAAGTAATAGTATTTTTATTCACCGTAATAGTAATACAACCTAGATTTACATATATGTAGTATTTTATTGGCACTTACTGTCTCAGAATTTTGATAGTTATTTTCTATACAGTAACTCATTTAATCCACATATTATGCCTACCATTATGCCTACCTACAAAGATAGTAATTAACATCTGCATTGTACAAATAAAAGAAACTGTGATTAACACTAATACGTTGTAGAAGCGGATCAAGCCCAGGTATTATTATTTTAAAGTCCCTGCCCTTTCCACTCCATGGCTTTCCAAGGTGCTTTCAGGCGTCATGGCCTGTTCCTTTTCCTTCAGCTGTGACTATCAGCATTAATTGGTTTGCCAATGGACCACAACTGCCTTAATTAGATCACTGAATTTTTGGCAACAAATCTCACAAACACTTGGTGTTCCCCTTCTCTATGAAAATTTCGGGTTTACATCTTTCACAAAACATGACTAGTAGTAAATGGCCTTCTATTTTTCTTACAAGAATTATACCCTGTTAGTTACTGGGGTCTTGATTCTAGCTGTAAGCTGAAACACCATCCTCACCAATGTAATTTTCAAATTAATTCTTAAACATAGCAAAAATGTCATCAGCTCTCTGTAAAATCTCCAGCTTTACCAAAAGAATAACCTGAAATTATATAATTCGTATTCTAATATAGCTATTTGTTGCCTCTACAATTATCACTCTAGTTGAATTCTAAGACCAGAATTTTTAAATTTTGCCACGAGCAACTCTTAAAAAGTTCACAGGTCTTAAAATATGTATAAACAATGGTTAAACTTAAATATACACCAAAGAAAGCAAACTTGATGGCAACATGATTTGTAATCCACAGTTACGAGTCTTATACAATGTGGAAGCATTAATTTTGCTTGAGAAACTTTTGTTTTTGGTGAACCGTGCACTTAAATGCATGTGCATAAAACAGCAATAAAGAATAAAAAGTGAACATCTTTTAAATACACAAAGACTAGCACATAAGAGGTGTGAAGAAGCAAGTTATTAATGAAAGCTTATATAGCCCACAGAGAATACGTATTCTCAGGAACACATTTTTGAAGGCATATTATTCACATAAACTAAATTTGAGGAAAATGCTCATTTTGTCAAATGCAAATTTCACTTTCCAATAGATTTCATGTGATCACACATTGTTGCAATTTTAAAACTCATTGTATGTGTTTGCATGCAAACCACGCTCACCACACTCTCCCTTCGCCCACGACTGGCACGACCAGAGGACGCAATGCTTGCACAGTCATCGTCGGTAAACTATAGATATTAAAAACAAATAATGAAAAAGATGCAATTTCACTACAGGTCTTACCTGGCTGTAAGCACATTACGCAAGGTTTTGGGAAGCATGCAAACACTCTATATGAGCATTATAATTGGCACCATCTATTGTGCACCATTAAACAGAAAAGTTGTTTTAAGGTATAATGAACTATCATTAAAAATGAAAAGATATTTACAAAAAGCACAAAGAATAAAATAGTACTTTATCTTTTATTTAAGTTAAATTAAAGAAAAGGGGAGGAGGGTCATCATGGTAAATTAGCCAAAACTAGCTAGGGATTTCATGCTTTTTAAACCTTTAGCTCCCTTGGGATCCTATCAGGCATCAATAAATATACTTAAAGTTTTAGTTTGGCAGAGAATATAAAAGAATATTTTAAAGTGAAATAATATAAGTCAAAGACAGAATTTCCTACCAGCAAGAACACTGAAATGATGATTCTTGTTTTCCTTTATTCATTCCTATGCAATTAGTGGAGATACTTCTAACATCACTCTACAGTTTTCTTCCTGTTTCACCAGCAGGTGAAGACTCATCTTCAGTATGTGTAGGTTATCTCCATTCTGACATCACTAAGGAACCATTCTGCATCACTAAGATAATAACTCTGAACCCAACTTGCAAATGAAATAGCACCTAGCCAGCACACAAGAACAAGGTTCTACACTTGATTGAAAATACATGACAGCACTTCGTTTGCAAGGGGCCATCACACCCGAAACATTAAAATGCTACAAGGCCCAAGAACTGCCAAGAGGAATTTTATTACCAGGTGGATTAAAAGTCAACTTCCTCCTTATGTGAAAAGCATATATCTCCTTAAACATTTCTATGTAAATTTTTGTTAACTATAGGAGTGAAATTCCTGAGACGTGCCACTGGGAAATGGCAGGAAAATTAAGCCAAATATATATGTAAAAGAAAGCTCATATAGCTCACCTAGTCCACTCCAAAAAGTAACCTGTGTTGACCATTAAGAAACTCTTTAATAATTTCTCCAATTTTGACACTGACAAGAATAACAAGGTAGTTCCTAAAGTCATCATTTGCTATTGGAAATGTAAATTAGTATAGTCTTTTTGGTGGGGAATATGGTGATAAACATCATAATTTAAAGGCATGTACTCTTTGACCCCCATCATTTTATGATTTACCTTGTAGATCTACTCATATAAGTACATAAAAATATACTTGTATAAGACTGTTCATTGTACAAGTGTCTGTGGCAGCAAAAATCTGATAATTTAAATGTCTATCAATAGAGGGGTGATTTTTAAAATGCATAGCCTATGCACTAATGCAATAATATATTGCCATTAAAAAGAATATGCTGATATAAACTATCTCCAAGAGGCATTCAGTGGGAAAAAGTAAGTGACATGGTTTACTTTTTAAAAACCTTCTAAATGTCAAAAAAAGAATCAAATAAATCTTTATGTACTGATACAAAAAGGTACGTTAAGAAAAAAAGTTGAGGAGCAGTATGTATATGAGTCCATATATACACTGTTCAAATAAAGGACACATATATGTAAAAAATATCTCTGAAAGGATATACAAGTACAGAGGTTGCATTTGGGGAATGGAAATAGGAGAGAGGGTCAGGGGACTTTTACTTTGGACTTTCCTTAAGCTAATAGTACTATTATAAATTTAAAAAAATAATATTCAGAAAGATTAGGTGATTAGAATTGTCCCAGTTTTGTCTTTCATGTAACAATTTTTTAAAGTTGATCTGTTTTATTTCTTCTCCTTCCATTCCACTGATTGAAGCACTGGCAAGCAAGTGAAATGGCTCAATGTAGGAAGCAGAGATGGAAAAGAGAAACACAAGGTAGCCAACTCATACACTGAATTATCACTGATGACAAGACAAGCAGTTCCACACAAATGACAATAAAATATACATTTTTCAAAAATTCTAATGGCACTGCTATTAGAATTTAAGACTCATTTAAGAAATTATATGCTAAGTCACATTCATAGAGAAACCGCCAATTAGGACAAATTAGTACCTGAGTTTGTGTACTGAAGGAAAACGACAATCCATGCACAAGAGAGTGAAACACACCACATCCTCAACATTCTAAACTGTGAGTACAGATTAATGGAACAACCAAAAGTTTCTATAAAGCATGCAAAGAGACTAGACTGCTCACCACAGGACTGCTTCGGGCTGAATTTGTTCTTGATGAGTAATAACTGTATTCAGATGGCTATAAAGTTTCCAAGAAGAAAGGTTTTACAATAATGATCAGCTCCTTTTCCTGCTGGGAATACATTACTGACCCCAGACCTAACCCACCCCTGGCTCCCAGGATGAAGGTACCTGTTACTCACTGGTCTGGAACTCTACCTCACTCCCACCCTCAAGACCCACCAGCCCACGGCAGGAGGGAGAGGAGAGAAAGGGTATGCCCTGAGAAGCACTACTCTCATCCTATTCCTGAGGAACTAATGAGCAAGAAAAGAGGTTTCTTATTTATACTCCCTTGATACTTTAAGCCATGATTTCCAGCAGGCACTTTCTCACAGCTTGAGTGAGAGCCACAATTGACCAGCTGATTGTAGAGTAATTACAGGTCAGATTAAATGACCTTTTCTTTTTAAGTAAACTGTGCCCACCTAAACATTACCCTCCTCACCACCTCCCTCTGGTTAGACTTACAGTTCGAGAACCATAAGGGTTATATAATCCACCATCATACAATGATACCTAAAGAACAAAGGAAATACCATTTATCTATTCAGCATCAAAGTTATTTTGAAAATGTCATAACTTCTCTGCAGTACTCAGTTCCCAAAAAGTTTTGAAGAATGGTGTAAGTGTACAGCCTCTCAAAGTGAAGACTCTGAAGGTGATAACACTCATTTATATGCATAAATTGCTACATCGTCATATTACAACTGCAAGCTCACACTTCATTTAAAAAGCACTATTGGTTATAGCATCTCCTTTCATCACCATGCTATACAACTAGGAGAACTAATATTTATGAATTTATTCTCTGAAAAGAGGAAATAGAGCAGAAAAGAAAAGTGAGGTACAGAAAGCATTTTGCTCACTGTCACAATAAAATTAAATTACAAAGCCTCAGGTTCCCAGTCCACTAGAACAGGCCACAACACAACAACTTGAAAGCAACCAACTCACAACTCGCACATTAAACAGAGCTATTGTTTTTGATTTCTAGTGGGCTTGCTTTATTAGAGCCTAGTATTGACGTGGCCAAGGCCACAGCTGTCTCAAAGAAAACTACGACATCCCATGCACGGGCAGCCATCTCACAAAAGTATGCAAGCATAGTGGGACCCATGCAAATCTACCTTCTTTATAGGAAACCAATTCTAAGGAAGGGCCTACCAATAGCCAGTAGTATCTACTACTGTAAAGATAATATGCTTATTTTTACTATCCTAAATTTTTGTATTTTAAGCACAGGTAGCACATTCTGCAGTACACACAGCATTAAAGCCATGTGTCCTTGACTATTTTGGAGGCAAGTTGTCAAGCCAGAGTCAGCACCACGACAGTGGCCCCACCACGAGTACACACACTGGAAAAGGAAAATACAAACCAGACTGGCACTTCTCAGCAGACCAGAATTTGCAATAAGGGAGGCCTATGAAAAAAGCACATGATTTAACCCTAAGAAAAGCAACTGGTAGCTCTGAAGCAACACACTCCTCACAAAGTACTAACCCTGTTACTCTTAGATGTCGCCAGAGGGTCACTGTACAGGGAAGAAGACTGCTAAGAAACAAAAACGAACGAATTAAGAAAAAAAGAAAAGAATTGATCTCACCATCATAAGAGCAGAAGACATGGTTTCTTTATACTCTATTATTCACTAGCAATTCCTGAGTGGTTAATGTAGTTCAGTAACACATAAAGTGAGAAAATCTTGATCTTTAGATATCTTTTTGAATACCAATTTTAAGGGATAAAAAAGAAAAACACTTGGAAGAGTTTTCTAAATATCTGTTTAAGTCCTAGTGCTCTTTGAACACTAACGTTAGGAGATGGGATGGCAACCTAAGAAAACACTCAGGCAAAGAGGGCCACAGCTCAGGGAGTGTAGCAAATAGTGGCCACATCCCAGTCACCAGCAGCTCCTGTGATATTTTCAGTGGTCTCACGACAGACTCCTAATGGGCTTAGCCTGATTATTGGGGAACCAGGCAAATGAGCTCTGAGTTACAGCTATAAACACTCTCCAAATAGATTAGAAAACCTGTATTTCAAGACAAGTCATGGACAAAGTACCTTATTTTAATCAGATAAATTGTACTAGTCACAATGAATCTATGCACTAACAAGGCACAGCATTTTTAAAAAACGAATTAAACCTTTCTTTTCCTGATGTCATTTGAAGACACAATTTTCAGTTCTTTTTCACCAAGCTCAATCAGACACAGAAAATAAGGGTATCTAAGTTGTGTGTGCACGTTTTGACAATTGAATTATTTTAAATGTACTGTGTGCCATATATTTATTGTGTTTTAAATGTATGATGTGCCAAATGCCTTGCAAAAACAAGAGATTCTAACACTAAACAAATAATTACGTTCTCCTCATCCCATTTATAGTTTAAATTTTCACATGCAAGCTTATACTAAAAGGGCATCCACTGTGATGTGTACTGATGCCTGTAACTTATTCTGAAATGCATCCTCCCCCACACACACAAAAAAGATAGATTGATGGATGGATAGAGGGACAAATAGACAGATAATTACACGATAAAGGAAATACAGTAAAATGTTAATTGTAGAATCTAAGTGATAGGTATGTGGGTGGTTATTATTCAATTCTTTGAACTTTTTTGTATGTTAAATATTTTTCATTAAAAAAAAACAAAAAACATGGTACTCATTTACAAACATGGTGATTCAATAGTTGCCACTGTTTAAAGATACCCTTGAACAGACTATATGAATTCAATTACCACAAACTAGTGTATACACAGCCATTCACAGATTAGTTCTAACTAGTCAAAATGCAAAACAGGGGATTAGAAATGTCTTCAAGCTGGATAAAACACATGAAGCCAGAAAACTTCAGACAAACCCGAGTGTAGTAGGCAGAGGTGGGTTTGCTGTGTCTAAGACTGCTATAGTTTCTCTGGTCAAAGTAGAGGCCACTCTGCAAAAAGCAAAATTAAACACATTTTTCTTAGGTTAAATGTTGTTAACATTTAACAACACACAAACGCAAAATCTGATATTGCCAAACCCCTTCTCCTCCAAAACAATGAGCTTAAAGCATTGAATCATATTAAGTAAAAGTCAAAGTAATTATTTCAAGTCTCTCAAAAAAGACAAATATTAAAGGTTAACTGTTTTCAAACCAAGTCATTACTAATTTTTTTACTTTAAAAACAAGAGTATAAACCCTCAGTCAAAACGGAATGGAAATAATAAGTGATTTATTCTCATGTCATACTTAAGAATGTCCATGAAAAATCCATGACAAGTGAATAATTACCACTGTTATAATCCACTTCGCAATGCCACAGAAATTATTAAACAGTAATTTTTCCCCAAACTTCTCCTACTCCCATTATTTGTCAAAATAAACTGATCAAATTAAATTACCAAAGAGAGAGAGCAAGCACGCACTAAACATAGTTTGGTCCAAAACATCTATGGCAGGTTCATTTTCAACACACTACACAAAACAAACAATAATTTTATATATTGCGGTTACTTGAGGGGGAGAAAATCATCTATAAAATTCCCTAACTTCTCCAGCCACCTTTACTCAGGGTTAAGCAAATTTAGGCAATCCCTGACTGAAAGACTGTTCCTCCACTGTTGACACTGCAATCGGGGACACCCCTACTCCCACCCTACCCCTGCCCCGCCTGGCCCTGCCTTCCTGCACCACACCCTCAATGAGCTGCCATGACTCACCTCTCCCCAGAACTCCCAATACTCCACCCTCCAGGGCCTCTCACTAATGTCCTCTCCACTACATTCTCTCCTCCCTCCTCCCTTCTACCAGCCGAAGCCTCCTGACCCTCTTTCCACCCACCAATGGTCAGAGCCCCTCCCATGGGAACCCTGAGTTAGCAGGGAGCTTGGGACTGAACTTCCTCTGCCAGTACTGCGGCAACAGGAAAGAGATGTTCTTAGCACCTCAAATGGGCATTCTGGACACATTTTTTTCCCTGTAGAAATGCTGTTTAGCAAGGTGGGGCTGGAATGGAGAAAACTATTAGTTCTGTAGTTTAATTACATCATAGGCTAAAGAGCTTTCTGCAAGACAGGATGGAAACTCTACCATCACATACTTTATTGTTTCTACCAGAAAATTCATTCCAAGTTCCCAAAATTTCATCTACTAACAAACTTTCAGAATAAATCCTATTTGTGAGTTTGCTACTGCCTATAATACCACAACTAAATCAGTTCAAATTTCTAAAATAAAGATAAGAATCTCACTAAACCTAGTCTTGAGGTATATTCCAAAGGACAGTTCATGAACGAAAATATGTTGCTAACCAACTTCTTGTGACACCTTACAAACTCTAGCCTGTGGGGCTATATATTAGCATATAACGTGATATTAAATCTTGTAAATGAAAACAAAATAACAAAATTATTTTTAAATAAGGTTCTAATAAATCATGTTTCAGTATATTATCAAGTTGCAATAATGCCTCAGGAGCACACCAAAGCAGTCATAATTCTTAAGGTTCCTAAAAGTAATCAGTGAATTTTACAGGAGCACAAAATACTATGATACAAGATACAAGAGAACTAACCAGTGGGTCTTTATGAGAACCAGAAGATCTCTTCTTCATTCTGTAAGAGTGACTATAAGAATGATTCTGGAAGTAAATATTTGAAGTTAACTTTAATGATCACATAATGAAGTTTAAAAAATAATTTAATAAAATTCATCTTAAAATTATACACAGATAGGTCCATATGAGACAGAGTAGTATACAGGCAATCTACTTCCCATCTGTTAGTAAATGATTCACTGCACTTCACTAGCTCAGATATATGGCCTCTCTACACATCTGCATTTCCCTTCACCTAGCCTGTGCCATTCAGTTCCGTTTAGCAAGCTAAAGAAAACTTGAGCAGGACATTTGTGGGGACCTTCACCCACACCTCATTTGAGTCCCTCTGTCTTCTTTATAAAGTTATGGGCGACAAGAGAGTCCACCTCCTTCTACAGTCTTCCTTACCAAAAAGCAATCCTTTGGATCAACCAAAACAAGGTTGAGATAACAAAGAACATGACATTGCATTGCCCCAGACAGTACCCTTAAGCCAAGTTACTGGTCCCATGGCATGTGCTGCCCAGGAGGAAAAGAGCCAAGATGGTATGGAACAACCAGTGTAGCAGCAGTATTATTAGACAATAACCTTACATGCGAGTCTTCTGAAGATAGCACTGTCTCAATACATAACTTCTGCAAGTACAGAGCCAATAGTATATACGAAGGGATAAAGGACAGCAATACTACTAAACAGGTCTATTGGTAGACAAGAAATCCAATCTAGGCATATACTGCTCACGTGAAATGATGAGGTGCAGCTCAAAGTGTCCTACCTATCGAGAGGCTGCTTTAGGCAAATCTATAAACATATGCACAGCTAGATCCTGAACCAATAATTATAAACTTATTTTTCTTTTTTTGAATATGCATTATCTTTCCTTTTATATATTATCCTGAACATTTTAAGAGATGTCTATATAGTCTAGAAACTGAGGCAACGTAGTGACATAATATGAACCCAAGAAAAACATGCTATAAGTTAACTTCCTTGGCTAAAATGACATACCATAAAAACAAACCAAATCAAGCAAAAATGAGTGCACGTAACTGATGTTTCAGGTGTCATCTGTCACTGCTGAACGTTTTCTGTTTAGCAACTTCATACCTGCTAGCTTGTAATACGTAACATGAAACACAGTTGGGTCTGTGCTGCAGTAGTTCAGTGTGTTCCAAGACACTGCTAGAAACATGTCTCCCAGGGCAACGAGTATATGTCAGTTGGGTGGCTCATCATTCTAAGAAAAGATATTACTACCAATCTTAGTCTTGAATAGGGAAGTAAATAATTTTTATCTGATTCTGAAATTCTAAAAGAAAAAATTACTCAAATGTTAAATTATAGTAAAATTGCAAAAGAATAGTTTTTGTTTTGTTAGTCATATGTTTTCCCCAAAACATCAAAACAAACCTGTGCAAGTTAGTCATAACCTATGATTAGCATCACTAGGCGTTTATAAAGTGAAACTCTACATTTAACACAAAGTCATGCACTACATACTAATGATGAAAGTCTTGATGATCTATCCTTGAGAGCATCATACTGGATTTCAGAAAAAGGTGAAAGTTGGTATATTTGCAAAATCAGAAATATAAAAAGGAAAAAAAGTAACAGTTGTAAAGTTATTAAAAATTCAGCACTATTTTAAAAGCCCAAAATTATTAAACACAAAGAATATTACATTTGAATCAAAGAATATTCTCCCCCCAACACTTTCCTGGTGTAAGTTATTGCTAAATTATATGTAAAACTGTATGTCCTCTTTCAAATACAGAATTCATAATCAGTAATGGTGAGATGATTCAATCTCAGTACACTCTAGCAGAAAACATCCTCAGGCAGCCTTTAAATGCGGGAATTAAACATTGTGAAGTCAAAAGATCCCTTACTTTTTATTATTGTGACTGTTATCATCATTTCCCATCAATTGAAACATGGCAAATCAAGGCATGGACAGGCAATGAGGCAAGAGCACATAACTAATAGACTCAAGCTTACAAAAAACAACTGCAGCATCAAAATGGGGGCAGTTCCCTTGGATCTACTCATGGACACACACCTGAACAACTTCCTTTCTCAAGAACTTTCTCTATGAAAAATGCTGAACAAAACTAGAAGGTTGGTCAGAGCAAAGTGTGGAATGCACAGTATACATACAAGTGTGGCATTAAATATAAATCAAAGAAAAATATGTAAGATTCATGATAAGACCAGAAAAACCACAATCTATGTAGGTCTTCAAGAAAATAAGATAATATGTGTATCACCACATTTCAAATCCAAGAAACTGAATTAAATAGTAACTACTTAGATTTGTGGTTTTCCTAACTGTTTTTTAAGCATTCTAGCTTATATTTTTTAAGCACTCTTACCCAGAAGAGCAATGCATAAAAGAAGTAAAAGCAATCCTCTGGTAGTTAGGTAAAAGTTTTTTCTTTCTTTTGCAAGACTCATACCCACTGAGGATTTTACGGAACACCATTCAAAATCCTGATTTAAAGTAATGTTTTCCTAAGTGTAGGTTGCAATTCATTAGTAGTTCATGAAATCAATTCATGGGTTCAACCAGCATTTTTTTTAAATGAAATAGAAGATCAAATATTAGCGTGTATCATGCATAGTAAGAGTAAATATTATTTCATGAAACTTTTGTTTCAATAATATATTTTATATACTTATATAATATACAAAGGCACAGGCACATATCTGCATGGATCTACTGGATCACAGTTAAAGTGTATTTCTTGTTGTAGAGGTTATAATTTTGAAAAGCTTAAAATACACTAGAAGACTAAAGTACATAGTCTAGTTCTAATAAAACAATAAAATAATACTTCAAACAGAATAAAGACCCTCCCTTCATGACCAATGAGATGGTCATTTACAAAAGACATTGCAGTAACCCCTCAAAATATATTTCAATACTATAAGGCTAAATGGTACAATTTTATCACTGATATAAATTTAATGAAAATGATATTGTAATAAATACCAAAAAGTACTAGAGCAAAATATCTGCACTTGCACGCTTTTCTTCTATTATCCCAAAACTAACAGAAAAGGCAAGCAATAAAGAATGTTATTACATGTGTAAAAAAATCTTGTTTACCCAAACTTTTCTAAAATGGCTAAAGGTGTGCATTTGGTAAATGATGTGCAATGGTAAAATGTCACTATATGGTGAAGGACATTTCCCTGAAAATAAAGTTCCTTCTCTACAGAAATTTCATTTACTTCTTTTCTACATTAACAAAATACCTTTTTTGTTTTAAATAAAAACACGACCAAAATATATACTACTCAAGCCACATATACTAACATATAAACTAGTCCATCCTCCAGCTAGCTTAAGTTCATTGAAGACAATAGTCATGTCTTACTTCTCAACCTCTCTGTAGCACCAATGGCATTTTACAAAGGCATAGAATTAACAAGCTGAACTGAAATTAGCCTACTTCAATTTTCCCTTTCCAAAATATAATGCAGAGTTCAGTTGGTTTAAAAAGATTGCTGAATCTACCTGGTAGGGAAATCCACAACTTTGATACCCCAACCGCTGCTACAGCAATTGGATAAGTAAAAAAAACACCCCTAATAAGTGACAGTTGGTGTTTATGTTGTTTAAAAACAAATAATTCGTCAAAGGAAGGAGAGTTGAAAATATGAAGGGCTCTAGCTAAAACATTTCCAAATATGCTATTGTAATCTATCAAAAAAAATTTTTTTAACTCAGAGAAACTTGCCTGAAAGTTTTCATTTGGAAATAAAATTAAAAGAAAGTACAGCAAATACATAGTAGAAACAAAGTTCAGTAAATGTCAATTTCTATGAGAATGTACCTATTACTCAAGCCCCCAGAACTCTGACAGTCAACAGTGAACTCATAATACTAACACTGCACATTTTTCTGGACTACACACCATGATGTCTTTCCTTTTGGGTGTACTGGCTCTGCTCCAATCTGTCCCAGTAATGTCCTTCGACGAGTTCTTCAATAGAATTAAACAGTGTAGTAGTAAATGATAAAAACACAAATAGCAAGCATATTAAAATTAAACTCATTAAAATTATACTAAGGCCATTGATATATAAACAAGAACTAATATTTACAAAAGTAAAAATCTCCACCAGTGAGAAATAGTAATGTATCCCCACTGCTCTGATTCAAGATCTCCTCATTTTCTAATTTTGGATCTCTGTCTTATAGTCTTCTTGTATTTCAGCATATAAAGCAGTGACCAAGCATTTGTAAGATTTTTTTTAAGGCAGATTGTTTTTAAGAAACAGATTATTTCAATTCTAAATTCAGGGCTTTGATTTAATCCTCCCTCCCCCAAACCTACCATTCACAGTCTTGAACTATCTTTACGCTTTTTATTTTTATACAGACTGTCTAAAGCACTGACACAGCTTCCAGCCCCAACAGCTTCTGGCAGGCCACCTTCAAGAAGTTAGCACCTAAAAAAGTTAACTGGACAAAAGGAAAGATCAAAGTCCTAAGAATGCGGCACAAAATCACCAACACATCTGCCTTACATCCAGTACTGCTAATGTTCATACATCAAATACAAGTTCCAAAAGTGTCAGAATCTTTAATTCATAGCTCACAGGTGAAGTTTTAAAAAGTAACTGACAGAGAAAAACCAAAACTCCAAAATTATAAAGCAAATCTTAATAAAATTTAGGTCAGTGTTTTAGGTCATCACATTTGTCTTCACAGAGAACAAAAGTTGTCTATACATTCAGCTTAATGTAGATGGTAACGTTATTTTGTAAAGCAAATGATCTGATGAAAACTTAGAACTCCCAATATTATCTAGTTAAAAGAAAAAAGAAAACCTTATCTCAATTATATTTCTTTTACACAACGTTATTAGTGAGCTTTCAGACTTATTTCCAAGAAAGTGTAAATATTTAAAGTGTGCTGAATGTATACTCACACACAGTAAATAAAGTACTAACTAGAGTCTCCTCTGTGGTGTAAAATTTTTATTAATCTTTAAGCACACACACTGACTTTTTAAAATATTGGGAGCTTTATTCTTTTTCCCATAGTAATAGATTTTCTAATTACCATAATGAAATAAAATACTGTGTGAATTTTAGTCATATATTAAATTTATTTAATGATATAATTTCCATAAAAAGAAAATCAACCTCATTACTTTATAGACACTTGGGTAAACAATTCCTTATTGGTATAATTGCAGGTTTCTTTTTTGTTTGTTTGCAGACTTGTTTTAAAGGCTCCTAAATTAGGTTGAATTTGGATAGTTTTACCTTTAGGTTAAACTAATATATAATCAAGTTTCCCTGAGGCCACACACAAATTTACAAATAACCAGCTCGATAATAACTGTGTGAAACTTCACACTATGAACATTATGATGAAAAGCAAAGGAAAAAGCCATACATTTTTTAAAACGAGGGAGAGGGGATTATTTTCAAAGCCCTTGACGCTCAACTTATTTTAAGCTTTTTGTTGACTAACTCCCTGTATGATTTTTTCCAAAATATTTAAAGAGGAAAAAACAAAATATCTCCAAGGAGAAACATGATGAATTTATTATCTTAAAGTTTTTCTCCTATAAAATCACTCTTAAGCTGCTGATTAGAGTTCTGTAAAGGCTGGTTAACATTCTTACAAATCTAAACTTTTGTAATTAACCAAAATATTTATGATTCAAAAGCCAGGTTACTAACTTACTCTAAAAAGACAGCAGATTACATTCACCATTAAGAAATATAATGAGGGGGGGCCGGCCCGGTGGTGCAAATGGTTAAGTGCACACGCTCTGCTGCGGCGGCCTGGGGTTCGCCGGTTCGGATCCCAGGCGCGCACCGATGCACTGCTTGGCAAGCCATGCTGTGGCGGCATCCCACATAAAGTGGAGGAAGATGGGTACGGATGTTAGCCCAGGGCCAGTCTTCCTCAGCAAAAAAAGAGGAGGATTGGCAGATGTTAGCACAGGGCTGACCTCCTCACAAATAAATAAATAAATAAATAAATAAATAAATAAATAAATAAAACCAGGGGCCAGCCCCGTGGCTTAGCAGTTAAGTGCTCGCGCTCCGCTGCTGGCGGCCTGGCTTCGGATCCCGGGCGCACACCGACACACTGCTTGTCAAGCCATGCTGTGGCGGCGTCCCACATAAAGTGGAGGAAGATTGGCACGGATGTTAGCTCAGGGCCAGTCTTCCTCAGCAAAAAGAGGAGGATTGGCATGGATGTTAGCTCAGGGCTGATCTTCCTCACAAAAAAAAAAAAAGAAATATACCAGAGTTAAGGACTATTTAAGAGTACAGACACATCAATAACTAGTATACCAGAACACACTCAGTTTATTAGAGTGTATTTTTATATATTATACAAGATAGGGAGAAACCTAGACTTGGGGAAAATTAACAAATATCAACCTTAACATGAAAGATCATTTTACTGATGAAAAATCTAGATGTAAGTATACATACAATATTGTCAAAGTGCAAATTAAAAGCACTGCTTTAAGATTTAAAGCAAAATTCTTTAAGAAAGATCAGCGTTGGGCCGGCCCCGAGGCTTAATGGTTAAATGCACGCGCTCAGCTACTGGCGGCCCAGGTTCGGATCTCAGGCGCACACCAACACACTGCCTCTCTGGCCATGCTGAGGCCGCGTCCCACATACAGCAACTAGAAGGATGTGCAACTATGACATACAACTATCTACTGGGGCTTTAGAAGGAAAAAAAAAAAAAAAGGAGGAGGATTGGCAATAGATGTTAGCTCAGAGCCAGTCTTCCTCAGCAAAAAGAGGAGGATTAGCGTGGATGTTAGCTCAGGGCTGATCTTCCTCACAAAAAAAAAAAAAAGAAAGAAAGAAAGATCAGCGTCTTGGCACAGTATGCAAGCCTTTAATGAGCGACTTCTCATTTACCTTGATTTATAACAATGAATGCTAAAAACCTGAAACACTATAAAATGTTAATCAAATGCTGAAGCAGGACACTTTATATAACAAGCAGGGAATTTTTCAAATCAGTAGCTCAATTTTTCCATGTAATAAAACTATAATTAGTCACTCAAGCCCCAACGCTATTTCTCATTTAATAAATTGTCATTTTCAAAAATATGAAAATAGGAAAAATCTGAAAGTTAGAACCCTGCAGATGTTATTCCATAAAATCCATCTTATTATTCTGTGATACTTCCAAAATAAAGGTCCTTTTATAGAAAAAGAGTAAATACATATGTTGATAGATAAAAATAGTCATGATTTTAGAACTGATTTACTTATAGCAATAATTTGAGAGAAAGCATCATTTTCTAATGAAAGAACTTTGCCAATATTTTCTATTTTTTAAAAAAGGCAAAGGAATATGAACAATTGTCAGACTGTTTAGGCAACAATGCTGCAGAAAGCTCACACTTACAAGCTTTGCTATCGTGGTATAAACAACTTAAAATACCAACCCTGTGACTGCCAAGACTTCGAATGGACCATGTATCCTCAACTCCCTAATAAAAATAAAAACAAACATAGTAAAAGTTTGTGAGTGACTACATTAAGCTAATGAGGAAAAGTATGGGGGCAAGTTTATAGGTTATTACAAACCAGATAAGGACGATGATGACTGGACCGGTGGGAATACCTGGCCCTTTCCGAATCTTCCTGGGAAAGGAGAAAGTACACAGAGAGTTAATCACTGAAGAGAGGGCTAACTATCAGAACAAGTGAGCAAAGAGCAGTCAATTAAGAGCACAGCAGCACCTTCCTTATAGCAGACGGGTGTGAACAACTCAGCTTCAAAAGCTGAGTTGGGGGCAGCCACATGCTTCAGTTGGAAAGCAAGTAGAAATAATCTTGGCAATGTTTTTGTCTTAACAAGTGTTATGAATGACCACTTGTGGAATGTAATCTATATATCACATCACCAAGAAAGTTCAACATACCAAGATAAAAATAAGCAAGTATACCTAACAAACAGAAATGAGTTTTTTTTCATTGTGAATGTTAGTTTACGCAAGGCAGGAAGAAATGTTTTCTTTATTACAGATGTAGTTTAAGGAGACAGTGTGTTGCTTTAAAAAGATTTAGGTTATAATTTTGTGCTCACTGCAAAGAATTTCCTTTTTTTTCTTTTACCATTCTAACTGGAAAAGAAAAGAACAACTAAATGAAAAAGTCCCTGACTGTGTATTAATATGAAAAACTACTTATAATTAGAACAAATTGGATAAATATTTTAGAGTTGGTGAAGTTATCTCACGTGCTATGCCTCAGGAAGACTACTTAAAAAATTGACCACAGCCTAACAGTTGACTAAACTGAATGCAATTCTAAACTTTTCCACATTCAGCTATTAGCACTGGAGCATTAAGCCCTGAGTCATGTGAAATCAAATAACTAGTCCCTAGAATCTGATCAACTGAAACAGTAAGGAACTTCTGATCTTTCAGAATTTCAAAGTCCAAAGCGTTAAAGTAATTTGCATTGACTAAGAATTCTCGTAAAACTGTCCAAATGGGTTCACAGCTAATCAACACTGTCTTTTCCAAAATGAATCAATACTTTATCACTCCAAGGCAATATAGCATGATCATTATGCAGGTGGAACAAATAGAGGTGGCTATGCGTGACCATTTATTTCAAATACAGAAATAGTAAATTAACTGAAACACTACAATTTAATGCCTTATTTTGGTCATGATCTTTGTGTTTAATTCCAAAGAACTGGTTGTCATCTGCTGTGTACATTGATGCATTTGATCAAGTCTGTTTATAAGCACCAGTATGATTCAATGATTCAATATCCAATAGGCTGTTCTGATGTTTAGGAATTCATCACTGATTTACATTTTGTTATGTAATAGATACATGTAATCTGCAAGAAGCCAAGCAAATTTCTTCCCTTTCTTTGACTATCAGGTGATATACCACAGAAGTTTTGGAGCATGTGCATTAGCTTAGGAGGGTAAGTACAGTTTATTAAGTGGTAACCAGTTCTAGGCTACTTAGCTTGGTTAGTTTAAAGAGCCTTGTGCTACACAGGCAGGTTAATTCTACATGCCCCATCTCAGTATTATTTGGGGTACCAGGGTGACAAACATGGTTTAATGTTCAATCTTTCCTTTATTCTACCCCTTCTTTTCATTCCACCTACCACACAAAAGCACTATTTAAAAACCTACCATTATAGATGCAACAAAGACAAATGAACTCGTATTTATTTTCAATTATGCCTATTATTGAAATAATTCTAAATAAAAATACCTTCTTAAATATTGAAATACCTCTATATTTAAAAAGCTTTTCTTTTTAGCCTGATTTGAAAAAATGGCCTAAAAAGACTTCAGAAGACTACAGAATAAAATGTAAACCCCATACAGGCCAATTAATTTGAACTAAGAGAATACAGTTTATTCCAGTCATTAACTACACCTTAAACTAGCACTGTCCAACAGAACTTTCTGTGACAATGGAAACATTCCAAGTTTGTGCCATCTAATATGATAGCCACTAGCCACAAGTGGCTATTGAACTTGAAATGCTAGAAGTGCAACTGAGAAACTATTTTTCTAATTTTAATCAATTTAAATCTAAACCTAATTACCCACATACGGTTAGTGGCTACTATATAAACAGTAAGGCAAGCTCAAAGCAAATTTTTATTACACCAAAAAAGACTCAAAACACATATTTTTCTAAGAGTCTGCCACATAGCACCACCCGTATAGAAAGGCAGGCATTTGGGTAGTTTTTAATTACTCCCCCACCTTGAATACTTTTGCATGGTGGCAAATATGAGGCAAATAGAAGGAAACCCTTGTGTCAAAGAAAAGACCCTAGCACCAACCCTAGAATTATTCTGAAGACCTAGAAGGGTCCTTAGAGATCATTTACTCTGATTTCTTCATTTTACAACAAAGAAAACTGCAGTACAAAATGATTAAGTAAGAATCTACAAAGTCATAAAGGTGGGACCATCATTCAGATCTTCTGACTCACCAGACCACTGAACCATGAAGATACCACCCTACAGTGGCTAAATGTATACTGATTACATAGAAAGAACATGAAGAAAATGGCAAGGCATCCTGGTTTTTACTCAGAGATTTCTCCTTCTCTGGAAGAACAAAAAGTTTCATTTCCCAGGTATTTCTAAAGTAGTATTTAAATTGCCAGTTGGCTTTTCTTGAATTAACAGCACCAGAGGCGAACAGAAAAAAATTTCAGCAAACTGTGTTTTTAGGTACCAATTACAAGGCAGAGTATCCCACTCTTCCACAGTCAGGAAAACAACACATTTTCATTGTCCTGTGCGTCCTTATTAGTATAAAGTATCCAAGGCTGAGTAAACAGGACAATGCCTTAAAAGATGGATCTAAATTTGTTCAAGGCTTTCTGGAAAAATATGTTTTGATATATTTAAACTAAATTAATGGAAATGAAACATACTCTGTTTTTAAAAGTTCACTTGAAGTAAGGATGAAGTGGTTTTATCAAAAAAAAAAAACCACAGCCCCATGAATATACCTGGTTGTCTTCTCTGCCAACACATAATACTTAAGGCTAGAGCCATTCCCTCAATTTCAAATTAGGAAACTTCAGAAATTGCATTTACTCTTTCAGGTCACCAACATGCTACTAATTAAGACATCCAGTTTAAAAACAGAATCAGGGGCTGGCCCCACTGCCTAGTGGTTAAGTTCGGTGCATTTCACTTTGGCAGCCTGGGTTTGGTTCCCGGTCGTGGACCTACACCACTTGTCAGTGGCCATGCTGTGGCAGCACCCACATACAAAACAGAGGAAGACTGGCACAGATGTTAGCTCAGGGTGAATCTTCCTCAAGCAAAAAGAGGAAGATTGGCAACAGATGTTAGCTCAGGGTGAATCTTCCTCACCACACACACACACAAAAAAACCCAGAATCATTGGCTAAACTAAGACTATCTGGAGGCCCAGAAAGACTTAGGTCCTTTTCTTCTTGGTTCTTTCATCTTCCAGTCCATTAGCAGATGTTGCACTCTCTCATACTTCCAAATTCTGGCTCTGCCAATGACTAAGCAAGTTGTTTACTTCACCAATCCTTTATTACCTTATCTATAAAATAGAGATAGTGGTACCTGTCTTATAAGGTGAAATGAAAACACGTAAAAAGCACTAGCACAGTTCTGGCATACAGAACACACTCAAAGGTGGCCTTATTCCTGAGCCTCAGGCCCTTGCTTTCCCTAGTCACATCCCAACACCCCACCTCCACACAAAGAAGTATTAAAATTAGGAGAAATTTTTAATATGGGAAGATTCTACCTTCTAATAACAGACAGTTCTATTGTTTGTATATGCATTATTTATTTTATTATAAATTTGTTAGTAATTTATATTTTTTATTGTGACTATCACATGCCAACTTCTACTATAGGTTCATAAACAGAAAGCAGCTGGAGAGACAAGGATAAGATAAGAAGTGAGAGGAAAAACCAGTTTGCAAGGAGTAAAAAGCAAGTGTCAGAAGGGGTCAGAAGTGATAATTATTCTCATCTGAAACTAAACCTCACCTCCTCTGCATGTCCTAGTATCATTCAAGACTCGGGTTAGTCACCATCTGCCTTTTAAGCCTCTAACCAGAATTGCTCCCCATGCCATGAAAATCTAATGCACTCACTGCCTGAACTGCACACAATTCACAGAGATAAAAAATATGTTTATCTTCATGGCCTTTGAATATAGGAATCAAATATTAGACTTTTAATATAGGCTTTTCTTCTTATTTAATGTTTTGGTCTGCCCTGAGATATTAAAATATGAGAATTTAATTTTACAACTATAACATATAGTTAAAAGAAGAAGTTAAACTAATATTTCATGGAAAATTTGCAAGCAGAAGTGATTTATTCACACAAAACATTTTTAATGCATCATCAGTAATACTAACCCAGTTACATGCAGAAGACACTTTAAATAAAAATAATTAGGCTAGTTTTAGTAACAACAAAGGACATATTCCACTCCAAAGTAACCAACACATACATGAAGAGTCACTTAATTTTAAGTAACCAAACATCTTTTTTCTCTCTTTTCTAAAACATCACAATAAGAAGTATGAGAAAGTTTTAAATTTGTAGATCAAAATAGTCATAGATATTTTAATTCTGGTTGTACCTTAAGATGCTGCTATAGAAGGGATTTGCTTATGAAAGTTGCTTGTTTGGCAGCAATTAGACAGTGGTTCTTAACCCTTTAGGGATCACAGACTCCTTTGAGAATGTGATGATAAAAATATCTGTGGGCATTTCACATAAAAATATACACATATTCAAAACTCTGCTTGAGATTTTAAGGCCGCATGCCCCCATCCTCCAAGCCTATTCATATACCAAGTTAAGAACCCCTGCAGTAGGAGACAGTTGGGGAACTTATCAACATTAAAAAAAGTTCAAATTTAGGAATGATTCACAATAACTAATATTCTACTGGTTTGCAATTTGCTCTTGTAGCTAACAAATTTGGGAGTGGTGGCAGAAGACTTGAAAAATACAGAGAACTGAAAAAATAAGAGTAATTTTCAGAGGAGACAAAAGAATGACTTGGGCCATCTCTACATGAAGACCCTGCTGACTTCCTTCTTAAAAAAAGAGAGAAAGAAAGAGGGGGAGAGGGAAGAAGAGAGAGAGGGAGGGAAGGAGAGAGACGGGGGAGAGAGAGAAGGGGAGAGAGGGAGTGGGTTCTCGAGAGAGGGAGAGAAGAACAAACCCATAGAAAGAAAACAGATTCATTTACTAAATCTTTCTCAGTCAGGAGCATTCATGAGATGAGTGTGAAGGTGTAGATTACAACAGAAAATGGTTCGACTCCAAGTACACATTTGGTCCACTCCAGACAGAAGAGACACTCTCTGACCTTTAGGTTCAAACACGCCAAACACTCCTACTTTGCAAACTATTAGTTAACGTTTTACTTCATGACTGCGTTATTTTAAGCAACTGATCACAACACGCAGAACAGGCAATCCTGGCCTACCAGCCACTTCTGAATCTGTCCCCATTTCCGATCAAAGGAATGATGAGAGTGCTACAAATGCAAAAGTTTCATAAACTGAACAGTTTCCAACATACTGTTTCTCCAGAAAGTCTTAATCATATACATTTGCCCTGAAAAGCAATAATTGTTGACTCAAAGTAAGTTACACATTCAAAATATAGAAAATTAGTAAGCTAAATACTTTCAATAATAAAGAGAGAAATGGTTCTTCGTAATTCAGAAGATCATAAATAGAACTTATATTTAATAACGGTCCCCTTATAATTTATTATAATTTTAGGAGTATAAAAGACAATGCATTGCAACATTTTCATCTCAAGCTAAGAATTGCATTCACTATTTGAAACCATATACAAGGTTAAAAAAAATCAGCAACAAATCAAATGTTTTTGGTTTTGTTTTTGAGCTGTGACAATATGGAATTTATACACTTCTCTTTAACCCATTAGCAGAAGATCTACCACCAACATCAAAATAAAGTGTCTAATACTATCCTGCAGATTTTTTCCCCTTCACACTTATTAATATGGCATCAGAAATATTTTTTATGGAAATTTTCAGAGCCAGGTCAACATCAGAAGGAAAGGGTAAACGAGAGTATTTGTTTCATTTTAAAGCAGCCCAATTTCCATATGCCTATTTTTTTTTAATTTTTTTTTTGCTTTTCTTTCTACTGATATAAGCATATTGAAATTTATGAACTATAGAAAAGCATAATAAGAAAATAAAACCAATCACAATTCCACCATAGACAAATCAAAGTATTGCAGGCAATCACTTCTTTCTTGTAGTTTTTAACCTTATATATGGACGCTATTTTTTGTAACCAAAATCGGAGTCCTACCAGTCTTAGAGTTGGCTTTTTGTTTTCATTTTCTTATGTGAATATTTTCCTCCATTATTAAATATGCTTAAAAACTGGAAGGCTGAATGACTTCACAGTGTTTAACTATGTAGATACAATATAATTAATTGAAATTCTATGATACTTGGGACTATAGTAAATAACTTTGCTGTCTCTAAGCCTACTTTAGCTAATATAAGTAAAGCACTCATAACATTATAATAACTTATAACAATATACATAGTAAAAGCTATTATATGTTTACTGTTATTATTTAAAACAAATATTGCATTTAATTTGATGGCATAAAATGGCTTGTTAAAATTCATACATCAAGTTATACTATTCCCAGTGTTTCAAAGCAAACCAGATTTACTTCAGAAGTAAACTGGCCAAGTAGTGATTTTTTTGAGACTAACGCAAAATTAGGGTTATTCCCCCATATTACCTCTTTTTGTTGTCGTTCCAGTTCTCTCATGCGTATATCTCTTGCTTCTGCCCGGGCAGCCCGTTTTGCTGCCAGCCTTGCCTCGGCCTGAGAAGTAATATAAAAATTCAGCTTTATTTAAAAACAACAACCACTACCCCCCACACCAGGTTTGAGAATAAGGAGCAAATGGAACATTACCTTCCACTGGGGGTGGAGGGGACATGATTTTACACTCATTTCTTTCTCTTGTCCCAGAGTCTCTCTTGAAATCTGGGCCTTTACCTTTAACTGCTTGCCTTGACTACACATTCAAAACATTTCACACAATTCATTATATGTCTCTCCAAACTTGCTTTTTCAGAATTTCTTTCCCTATCAATTCAATCATACAAATTAGAAACTTCAGAACCAGACTCTACTTCATTTTGGACATCTCCAAGTACTGTCAATTCTCTACCACTGAGTTTCTCTCAAACTCATCTCAGCATTCTTTTTTTTTTTTTTAAAGATTTTATTTATTTATTTATTTTCCCCCCAAAGCCCCAGTAGATAGCTGTACGTCATAGCTGCACATCCTTCTAGTTGCTGTATGTGGGACGCGGCCTCAGCATGGCCGGAGAAGCGGTGCGTCGGTGCACGCCCGGGATCTGAACCCGGGCCGCCAGCAGCGGAGTGTGAGCACTTAACCGCTAAGCCACAGGGCCGGCCCTCTCAGCATTCTTTATTCTCAGTTTCTGCTTGTTTCAGAAACTCTTCATATTTCTCTCTCTTTAAATTGAGATATAATTCACATACCATCAAATTCACCACTTAAAAGTATACAATTCTGGGGGCTGCCTGGTGGCGCAAGCAGTTAAGTGTGTGCGCTCCGCTGCAGCGGTCCGGGGTTCGCAGGTTCGGATCCCAGGCGCGCACCAATGCACCGCTTGTCAGGCCATGCTGTGGCGGCATCCCATATAAAGTAGAGGAAGATGGGCACAGATGTTAGCTCAGGGTCAATCTTCCTCAGCAAAAAAAAAAAAAAAGAGGAGGACTGGCATCAGATGTTAGCTCAAGGCTGATCTTCCTCACAAAAAAATGAAAAGTATACAATTCTGTGGTTTTTTAGTATATTCACTGCACAACTATCACTACTATCTAATTCCAGGATATTTCATCATCCCAAAAAGAAACTCCATACCTATTAGTAGTCATTCCTCATTACCATCCCCTCCCAGTTCCTGGCAACTACTAATCTACTTTCTCTCTCTCTATGAATTTCCCTCTTCTGGACATTTCATATAAATGGAATCATACCATAGCAACTCTTTACCTCTTGCCTGGATACTGCAACTGCCTCCAAATCTATCTACCTGCCTCCAGAATCTGCCCTATAATTCATCTTCTACATGGTTACATGATTGACAGTCTGCCTTTCAAAATACATTTCTGATCATGTCATTCTGCTGTGTAAAAAGCTCCACTGGCTCCCTATTACTTATGGTTAAAGCAAAAATTCCCCAGACTAGCACAAACAGGATAGAAGAGAGGATAAAAAAGCAAAAACAGAAATAAGATTCCTCCCAGTGAGATAGCCACCTTATTTCCCAGTACTTGTCCCACAGGTAGCAGCTACATCCCATCTGCCTCCATTCCTGGACTCTACTGTGCTCTATTAAGCCTCTCTTCACAGACCATTTGCTTGGCAGAAGGTATTCTCCCTTCTCTCTTATTCAGCTAAAATATTACCTTCTAAGAAAATTTCCCCCATTGCATCTTTTACAGACCAATAGTCTATGCATATGCCTCTACCATGGCTATATTACATTGTATTAAAATTACATGCTTCTGTCACCCCACAACTTCCATGCCTCAATGTCTGCTAAACAAACAAAAGAATGTCAGGCCATGAGCCAAAGTATCAAGGAAATGAGACACGGAAATAGCTTGATATACCACATAAAACTAAAAAATCTTCTCTCTGGTTTCTATCTTGTAGTGGTTTCCTCTGTTCTTGGCCACATCCGAACTCTGATTCAGATCCCCCCTCCGATAACCACAGTAGTTGCTTCTTCCCATGTTGTATTTGCGTCCAAGTCTCATACGGGGAAGAGACTCAGCCAATGTTTAAAAGGGTCTACTGCGTGAGCAATTATGCTAGGTGCTGAAAATTTACAGAGTAAGATATGACATCTCTGCCCTAAAGTTGTTCACCATCTAGTTGAGGGAGACAGAAACACAATGCTTAAACAGAAGGAGGCATGCAGGAGGGAGCAATTAGTTTTGCCTGGCAAGGTCACAACAGGTTTCTAAAAGAGGAGGCAGTTTAATAGTTAACAATTATTCAACTACCCCAATTCTGGCAATTTCCCAGTCTGCTTAACTGGCCTTTTAGTAGCAAAAATCCTGCAAAGTCCTCTGCAATATACCAACCTCAAGCTCTAAACACTGACATGACCAGAGCAATTAGTCATCCCACATGAATTTCACATTGGCTTCTATCTTTAAAAAACTTACACCTTCTTTACCGCTCTGACTATGAGTGGATACCACTTTCTTACTAGAGTTAGTATTTTATAGAAAAAGACTTCAAAGCTAAGTTATGCTTCAACTGATAGCAAGTATGTTTTTAAATTACAAAGCATCATTTTTCTGGGAAAAACTTTCAAACCTCTTTTTTTAATTTAAGAAAGCCATAGCAATGTGTAAGAATTTTCATTTCCACATATCCTAACTTTGTACTTTGTACTTTGAAGCCTCCCTTAGAAATTTATCGAGGGCCAGCCCTGTGGCCGGTTGAGTGCTCGCGCTCCGCTACTGGCAGCCCAGGGTTAGGATCCCGGGCGCGCACCAACGCACCACTTCTCCGGCCATGCTGAGGCCGCATCCCACATGCAGCAACTAGAAAGATGTACAACTATGACATACAGCTATCTACTGGGGCTTTGGGGGAAAGAAAAAGGAGGAGGATTGGCAATAGATGTTGGCTCAGAGCCGGTCTTCTTCAGCAAAAAGAGGAGGATTAGCATGGATGTTAGCTCAGGGCTGGTCTTCCTCACAAAAAAAAAAAAAAGAAATTTATCGAGAATGCCAATTTCATCCTTCTAAGATCTGTGGCCAAATCTGCATAATCTATACTAAAATGAGACTTCTCTTACCAAACCTAAATTATAGATAACTGAGATCTGTTCTCTAATAAGACTTCTTTCACAACAAAAAGGAAGGGAATATGACTGTGTAACAGAAAAAACATGGCTTCAGAGCCACAAAAACATCCTTTCCTTTGGTACTTGGCCAACTTTATCCAAAACGCAGATGTTACCTCCCTCGGAGATGGTATTGAAGAAGGTCACTAAACAACAAGCTTAAAAAAGGTAAACAGAACTTAAAACTACTTTATCTGTTTTTTTCTATACATTGCTACCAGATGCCTGAGGTTATAGTGATAGTAGGAGAAGCAAGGAGCTAATGGTGATTCCAACCTAGTAAACAAAATACATACCCTATACTTAAATAACGATATATTTTTAAATAGACAAATTTTAGGTACACAAAGCATACTTCTAAGTAATAACACTAGCATTTCCCCCTCAGAATACAATTGCATGAAAGGGCTACTACAGATTTGTTTTAACACACACTGACAGTTATAAAATAAATGGGATATAACAGTAAAGGATCGCAACGATTTATCTAAGCTCAAAACAAAGTTGGTAAAAAATTTTAAACATACAATTACCATTTGATCCAATAATTCCACTTCTGAGTACACACGCAAAAGAATTAAAAACAGAGACTCAAACAGATATTTGTATGCCAATGTTCACAGCAGCATTATTCACAATAGCCAAAAGGTAGAAACAACCCAAATGTCCAACAACAGATGAATGGATAAACAAAATGTGGTATATACATACAATTATTCAGCCTTAAAAAGGAAGGAAATTTTAACACAAGCTACAACATGGATGAATCTTGAAGACATTATGTTAAGCGAAATAAGCCAGACACAAAAGTACAAATGTATGACTCTGCTTATCTGAAATATCTAGAATAGTCAAATACCATGGGGATAGAAAGTAGAACAGTGGTTTCCAGGGGCTGGGAGGAGGAGGAAATTGGGAGCTGTTTAACAGGTAAAGAGTTTCAATATAGGATGATAAAAAGTTCTGCAGATGGATAGTGGTAATGGTTGCACAACAATGTAAACGTACTTAACACCACTGAGCTATATACTTAAAGATAATTAAAATGGTAAATTTTATGTTGTGTATATTTTACCACACAAAAGAAGTAAGTAAAGTTAGCATAAGACATGAAATCAGAAGTATTCAGGAGTCTAAATCATTTAATTACTTGTAGGGTCTTTAGGCTGATATGACCCGAACTTTTAAAATAAAGTTAACAGGAAAATTCAGGAACTAGAAATTCAGGTTCAAAAGTTACCTGTAAAATCAAGGAAACCAAACATCATTGGACCAGGTTTCTAAAAATTATTCTGATTGTTACGCTTTCAAATATTAGGCATATTAAGGCTGATTAAAGGAAATAATATGTAATTGGATAAGTACAGAAATTTATTCTTCCTAGAGCAACGAAAATGATAACACAAAAAGTAAAGCTGTATTTGGATAGAATTAAATCCATTTCTCATTAAATGCTTGGGGCAAATAGAAAAAAAAAAAAATGACAGCAAAAATCATGGGCTTGATCACCCCTGGAACAAATGCTTTAAGTTGTATTAACTCATAAACCTTCTAAATTTGTAGAATGTTCACTTTATCACTCAACTAATAATTAGGAATCGTACAGTGATCACTAAGAAAGAACACCTAGGAAAAGATGAGAACTAAACATGTACTATGGTTTGAGTACTTTTACATTAGGGACTTTTCCTTTACCATCAGAATTTTATATTATGCTCTTTTGGAATTTAAGAAAACAGAAGTAGATGAGATAAATAAAATATATGTATTTATAGATAAGTATATAAATAAATAAAAAGACATAACTCCATTTTAAAATGAGCAAAGGATTTGAATAGACATTTCTCTAAAGAAGATATACAACTGGCCAATAAGCACATAAAAAAGTACTCAACATCATTAGTCATCAGGGAAATGAAA